TCATTTCAATGTCGGTACATTAGCCAGAGAAAGCCTACTATTTATTGAGCAGAAGCTCTTCCTGTTTGCTACGCTTAAGAAAAATTAAAGACTGGTGAAAAGTCCTGAAAAGATCGCCAAGCTGCATCAGAATTAGAACATTACAGCCGTCCAAGCTCCCGATGACACTGGGAATAGAGATAATTTTTTCCTTTTGGGGAGCAGTGTGGATTTCAGGAGAGCTGACACTAATCCCTCTTACACTAATTTGCATACCACACCTTCCCCAAGACACCACTTAACATCGTCCTCTCAAGGGTGTGGACACCTCGTAATGGCAGCACACCTAGGTTTTTCTGCCTCACTTAGCTATTGAACAGAATAAAGTTTCATTTCCTGCAACGGGGGCGGGGGGACTGGCGTTAGTTATTACAGAAAGATCCTGAAGGCTCCTCAAGGCATGCTGCAGCCTATGCCACCCACCCTGGCACTCTGGTGCACCAGGACCCTGTGAGTGTTAGGTCAGGTCTCCTCACTTCTGCTAGTGTAGCCCCTGCTCAGTACCAACACCAGTTTGCCACCCACTCCTACACTGGGTGGTCCTAGGCTCAACAATTTACACTGAGCCCTACCAAGATCAGCCAGGTTTCCTACTTGTACTTTGTGAGCAGGAGGGAGAAAGGGTCATGGCTGCCTTTTCCTGGCCCTGAATTTTTCATAATGGATATGATGTATGATCAGCTTCTCCCTTACACTTTCAGAACTCCTTAGCCAACAACATGCTGTACAAGGGCCCACTGAAGCAGAAGGTTTTTCTCTGGGGACCTGAATCAGTATTGACTGCACTGCTGTAGTGTCCAAAGTCTGGCCTATTTTTTAATTCTTTATTTTTGTGACAGCAGTTTTGGTATTAGGAAGAATTCAGAAGCCCATCTTCTGCAGTTACCAAGGAAAAGAGATCATTCTGAATTAACTCTTTGCAAAAGATTTTCTCTGACTCTACTTCTATAAATGTTCTTTAAAAAAGAAAAGTATCCTGAAAAAGTGTATGGTACACAGATTAGCATAAAAGGCTTTGGGTGCTTTCCTCCTTTTTTTTGTTTCTGTGTTTGTTTGCTTCTGTCCTAAATTGAGAAAGCCAGGTTTTGAGTTGTGTTCCTATAACCTATGTCACTTATTAACAACAAACATTTACTCTAAACCCAAGTGGTGTTAAGAACTATACCAGGTCAGGAAATAGAGAGGTCTTTATAAAAAGAAAAAAAGAGAGAAAAAGCCACGTAGTTTTAGCCCTCAAAGAGCTCACAGACAAGGAGGGAATGAAGGAGATAGGTAAAGAACCATTAAGCTGCAACATAATGCTCTAAGAAATAATGAGCCCCAGCTGGGTGGCTCAGTTGGTTTGAGCATCATTGACATCATCCTGATGTGTCAAGGTTGCGAGTTTGATCCCCAGTCAGGACACATAGAGCAATCAACCAGTAAGTGCATGGGTAGGCAGAACAACAAATTGATTCTCTCTCCCTTCCTCTCTCTCTCTAAAACCAATACTTAAAAAATTTAAAAAGGAAGGAAGGGAGGGGAGGGAGGAGAAAGAAAGAGCAGGGGTGTTAGGGAAAGCCTCTGAGAGATAATGACTCCTGAGATGCATCTGGAACCACAAAATGGAGAAAGGAAACATTATGGACAAGAGAAAGGAAGGTTTGAAAAAGATATGGCGGCATTGCTTGTTTTCCACAGTGCGACCTGCCCTGCTTTCTCCTATCTCTCTATAATCTTTCTTAAATTCCCTCCTTAATTTCAAATGCTTAGAAGCAGCTGCTACTTGCTCTGGTCAGGTAACTCAGTTGGTCACAACATTGTCCTGATATGCCGAGGTTATGGGTCCAATCCCTGGTCAGGGCACGTACATGAAGTAACCAATGAATGCATGAATAAGTGGAACAAGCTGATGTTTCTCTCTCCTCCTCTTCTACTCCCTCTCTCCAAAATCAATAAATAAATTTTAAAAATTAAAAAAGAAAGAAGCTGCAACCTGCTATTCTGCAGAGCAATTGAGATCTTGCTTTACAGCAATTGTCAGTTTAGCTCAAATCAACTCATAAAAATTCTCTTTGGACATGTCTTATGTCAATAGCATGATTTCACATGTACACAATACTACAAAATCTATTTTAAAACATACAGTTATTAGAGCTAACAAATTCAGCAAAGATGCTAGATATAAAAATTAGTTGTATTGCTATAGTCTAATGATGAAAAATCTAAAAAATAAATTAAGAAAGCAATTCTTATTACAACAGCATCAAAAGGAATAAAATACTTAGTATCAGGAGGTACAGGACTTGAGCACTGATGACTACAAAACATTGCGGAAAGAAATTAAGGAAGACCTAAGTAAATGGAAAGATATCCATGTTCATAGATTGAAAAACTTAACATTGTTAAGATGTTGATAGTCCTCAAATTGATCTATTGATTCAAAGCAATTCCTATCAAAATCCCAATGGCCTTCTTTTCCAAAAATGGAAGCACCGGTCCTAATTTCAAGGTACCTGGAATTTTTAATGGGGGAGTTAGACCTCGGTCCTTAAGTTTGGCTATGAACTCTGGCATAAGAAATTTATTTAGAAGTCACAGTGGTAAAAGAAGTGAGCCAGCTGGGCTGTGTGGACTCATGAAATAGGTTACAGAGGCAAAAGAAGGGCCCTTGGAGCTTAGGACAAAGAAAGAAAAGACAATGTGCCGCAGAGAAGAAGAGAGGGAAAAGCACTGCCATGCGTGTGTGTGTGTGTGTGTGTGTGTGTGTGTGAGAGAGAGAGAGAGAGAGAGAGAGAGAGTGTGTGTGTGTGTGTGTGTGAGAGAGAGAGAGAGATATCACATTGGGTCCTTTGTCTTAAGGGGTCTTATCTGTTTTCCAAAGGGGAGGATTTCAATAAAATGTTCATCAGCTTTTCCTGAGGACTTAACACTTAAGAGAGTGGTCATGCAAGGGTTTGTATGGGATTCATGTGAGACTATTCTCCAGCCCCCTTGTTTCTTCTCTGAGGGGGTTTAAACCACATTAGGCATATGAAAGGTCAGGGGGTTTAAACTGCATGACTAGTGATATGTAAGGTCAGAGAGTCCAAACTGTGTGGCCAGCGATACCAAAGTTTAGGGGGTACAAACCACATGGCTAGCAGCATACTAGGGGATGAAATATCACCCTGGGGAAAAGATCCTAGCCTACAATACTTGTTTTCCCAGTTTTTCTCATTGCCAGATGCCTGGGGCTTTCCTCCTTGGTGACATTTCACATCTGGCCTACCATTCCTGCTCTGCTCACATCTAACTGCCTACTCCATCAGAACAACCAAAACAGTTTTGAAAGAGAACAAAGTTGGAGGGCTCACGCTTCCTGATTTCAAAACCTACTACAACACTATGGTAATCAACACATTATGATACTCACATAAGAATAGATCTTTAAATAAGTGAAATAGAATTTTGATTCCAGAAATGAACCAATACATCTATGATCAGCTGGTGTTTGACAAGGGAAGAATCTTCTCTACGTCAAATGGTGCTGGGACAAAAAAGAAAGGAAGGGAGGAAGGAGGGAAGGAAAGTAGGTGAAGGAGGGAGGGAGGAAGAAAAGAAAAGAAGGATGAAAGGAAGGAAGGAAGAAAAGGACAAGGCCTCATATAAGCGTCAAAGAAAAGTCTCTTTGTTCAAAGGGATCAAAGTATCCTAATAACTCCGTACTGTGGGCTACAACCGACAGGATTTTGGGAGCACTGGTTTGAAAGTAGAACTCACTACAGGATCCCAGAATCAATTACTGAACAAAAGATGAGTTTAAAATATTCACAAGGTGCCTTTTCCCTGGGCGAGGATTGGCAGGGGTCTGTAGGTGAGGCCCAACCTCATTTTGAATACTGGCATTAAAAACTGTCAAGTGAAAAAGAAATCAGGATTTAAACAAAGGAGACTCTATTTGAAAACATTATTGCAACAGGGGGGAAAGAGTCTACTCCATTGCAATAAGGTAGGAGGGCAATTACTGTAGGGCAAATGCTCAACTGTCCAAATACCAAAAAAACAAAACACCTAGCTTTAGGTAAAGGAGACTTCATTGTAACAGATTGTTCCAAAAAGAAAGGAACTATTGCAGTGGGAGGGTGTGGGTGAGGGGTGACTAATGCTTTAGGGGAACTCTCTGGCCATGCACAAGATCTGCAACTTGTGGCCCAGGTCAGAGTCAGTGGGGCATTTCCTTTACAGGGAGCAGGGAACAAAACCTGGAAAGAACTGGCTGTGGGGGAGTGGGATGAAGTGGAGGAGGGGGCAGTGATCACACTGCAGGTCAGAGAATGTTTTGCAGGGAAGTCATCCTATTTTCAGGAACGGTGAATAAGAAGGGTTGTATGCCGGCTCAGGTTGAGGGTGCATCAAAGTTTAGGGGGCTGGAGGAAGGAGAGAAGCTTAGAAAGTCTGGTCGAGTCAAGGTACCCGGTATTTTGTCCGCATTGGTCAGTGTGTACAATTAGTTCAGCTAATCATGTAGGAAGCAAAAGGAATGGGAATCTGAAGGGCGTGTGTCTGGCCTTGTCATAGGTAAACAAGGGGACATCCATGAGTCATATCTAAATTCCATGGGAAAGGTGGTTCTTTGCTGTAACGCTTTCAGAATCACGAAGGGGTGGAAGGATTTCTTTAACCATCGCTTCCCAGAATCTCAGAGTTCAGGTTCAAGTTCAGTATTTCCAGAGTCACAACGTTCAAATTCAACATTTGTCAGCATGCAGGGAAATCTCTCCACCGAGTCAATCAAAGTTTGAGGAGGTGCAGCGGGATGGAGACACTGAGTTCTCAGATGAACGCACCCCTAGCTCCCTGCTTTTTCCGAGCAGCGTCAGGAGGCATCTAGACGCGGGGTCCGGCGGCAGGAGGCAGGTGGCGGCCATGAGGCTGGGAACTCCGAGGCCAGACGCGACCGCCGCCGCCAGCCCCGCCCCCGCGCGCGCTCTCGGGGCTGCGCAAAGTCCCCTTCGGCGCGCGCGCGGCGCTCGGCGGCGGTCGCGGAGGGAGGCGGGCTGCGAAGCGGGGGCGCGGCTCTGGAGCCTTAGAGGGCCTGAGGGCCGCGGTGCTGTGGCACTGAGGAGCCCCGGTGCGGCGACGGCTGCGCCCGCAGCCCCCGAGCGAATTGAGGACGAGGCCGGCAGGAGACGGCACGGCGCGGCCCCTTCCAGCGGCCACGCCCGGAGGTAGTTTCCTGGGGTCGCGACGCGTTCGGCGGGGTGCGGGGCTGAGTGGTCCGCTCGTTGCGGGGCTCGGGCCAGCGTCTCCCGGCCTGGGCGGGGTGGGGCGGAGGGATCGCTGGGTCAGAACGTGCCGCCGCGCTCGTCTTTTGTCTCGGTGAGCCTGGGTTCCCATAGCTCGCGTCTGCGATCCCGAAAAGGCGCCGTCGGGCGGCGCGGGGCGGGCGAGACTCCCGCCCGGCCCAGGTGAGCCGCTGCTCCCGGCAGCCGACGGCCTGCGTCCCGGGTGCAAACTCCGTGGGAGCCCGCCGGTGGTTTTCTCCTTCCGGAGACGCGCGTAAACTCCAAAGGCGGTCGCGGCAGAAGCACAGAACAGAGGAAATCCAAGGCGTGTCTGTTTTGAATTGGCAGCGTTTATTTCAGTCCCAGTCTCTCACAACTCTCTTTTATTTTGCGGGTTTGATCTTCGCTGTTGCCATACTTCACTTTTCTTTTTTCTTTGTGTGTGCTTTTTTCTTTTTACTCACATTTTATTGCTTCTCGCCAATAATGAACGTCAGCATGGGGTGTCCAATGCTGGTTCCTTCGTCTGTAATTTGAGATCATTGAAAATGAAGATAAGAAACTGACAGTCTGTACTGGCGTTAAGGTGGAACTGGAACGTGTGACAGAGATCGTGTAAACAACATGAAGATCCACTTCCTTATTTCATAGTCATGGCTCAAGTGTGTTTGGGGAATGCTTATAAGCTTTTAAATTACAGTTTAGTTTTCATGGGCCAAACTTTAAAAGTTGGAATTGTGTCTTCTCTCTAAATATGCTAAAAGTCACACTGACTTTAAATACAATTTAATTCAAGGAGTGTTGAGCATCTATGTAAAACAGTAACAGTGCTAGGCACTGGTGGAATCCATAAATGAGTGAGAATTGTGTGCCGAATGGAGGGCGTGATTAAGCACACGAATAATAATGATGCAGGCAGAATGCAGCATTAGCAGACACTAGTACTTACGATCACTGACTCCTGTACCCGCACTGTGGTAAACCTTTTACCTGCATACTTTTTACTTACTTCTTAATGTTGATTACTTGATTTACCATTCACATATTTTTAGTACCTACTGAGAGCCGAATGCCAATGACATTGATCTAGCAGGCAGTGGGACAGCCATGAGCAGAGGAGAAAGGCCAAGTACAGAAGGTCACCAGGGTGGAAAACCCTGCGGAAGCCCTAGCAGCGGGCAGAACCAGGAACACAAGGAGTCCACGCGGCCCCGCTGGCTCCCTTCTTCAGCCTCTGCGACACTCTGAAGAAATTTTCTCTTGTAATTAGAGTTCTTGGCTCCGAACTTTCTCTCAGCCAAACTTAAGGACCAAGGTCTCACTTCAGTGCTTCCATCTGTTGCCAATATGATGGCAACCTTTATAGATTTTGCCTTTAAGGACTTTACGTTCTCACTGGGGGAACATATTAAATTATCACACAAGTAAATGCCAACAAACGGAGATAGAAGCTAAAAAAAAGAAGAATGTAGGGTGTTGGGAGAGCAAGTAAGGGGTTGGGGGTGCACTTATCCCAGCCAGGGAAATCATTTAAGGTTTTCCTCGGGGAGTCATCTTCAACTGAGGTGTGGGTCAGTGAAAATAGGTGGAGGTGACTCTCTAAGGAAGGAAGAAGGGTCCAGGCAAAGGAAGTAGGTTCCACAGAGGCTTGGGAAGATTTCGGAACTGAAAGGTCAAAGCGGTTGGATTGAATGTAGAAAGCAAAGGGGAGCTGTGGTTAGGGCCAGAGAGACCATGTGGGGCCCCTTAAGCAATGTTAAGGATTTGCAGCCAATTTTTTTTTTCCTTGCTCTTTTTCAAAACTTGTATAGAGAATTTTTCAAATCACTCAAATGTAGTGAGAGAACAGTGCAGTGAACTCCCCTGTAATATTATCTGGATTTGGACCGTATTCAAAGAGCAATGGGAGTTCTTGGAAGGGTTTTAAGCAGGGAAGTCCCACAATCAAATTTGTATCTTAATCCAAAAGGTCACCCTGACATCTGTGTAGAAGTCGGATTGGATGGGGACATGCATGAATGGATGTGAGGAACCAGCTGGAGGTGACTGTTGTGTCTGGGAAGATACGGCAAATTCTAAGAATATATAACTGATCTTTCCTTACTGTGTTAGTAAATCTATATTCATACATAACCTTTTGGAGAAATCATGGCAAGTTTTTCTAAAGGAGATTGTATTCAAGGTGAGTTTAGCAAGGTAGATAACATGTCAGAAACTCTGGAATGAGAATGTCTTGGTATCAGAGGATGGCTAACCCGGTGACCTTGACAATCTCTGTTGAAGTTGCACCTTTCCCTTAGGATTTTCTCATTTAAATTACTTTTGCCACTATCATTTTGGTCCATGGGCGCTTATAGCTCACAGTTTTTCTAGGAGACACAAATTTTTATTTACAGTGATTATAGACAGTTCAGATAAGCTGATACTTTCCAAAAGGTTTCATTTTTTTATTACTTAACAGTATACTAGAATTCATAAAATATACAAATAATCTTTCTCAAAGTGTCTGATTCTGGTGCTACCAGAATTTGCGCTTGAAGTCCTAATTCTGTTCCACAGAAGATCTAAGTGAAGGAGCCCCATGTGGAAATGTGACCCACTGGTTTCTTTTCCCTCGTGTTCAGTGCCAGGAATGGCTCATTCTTAAGGAGAAACTTCAGCTTCTGCAGAAAGGTAGCATACCCAGTGGCATAATATTGTGATAGAAATTCTTATCTTTAAACAAATTACCTGTTTATAAAAATAAAATTGGTAGTATGTAAATTTTTCATTCAAAATTCAATGTATACCTTGAAAAGACTTAAGTCTATTTTGACTTGATTTTCTTTTTAGTGGATATGCTCCCAAAAACTCAGTCTACTCTTTCTCCTGACTGATTTTTATCTCTGCAATTGCTGGCACTAAGAGGAATAATATTTGGGAAGGTGTTTGGTAAACTGATACACAGTACAAATATAAGGCGGTAGTGGTACTAATTGGAAATAAACCGAAGCAAAATGAGGAAGTTTTTCATCTGTCCATTCTGAGACCCACTTCATGATGGTAACTTAGATATTTGTCAGATGGCTTTTTTATTCTCTTCTGTACAGAACATGACTTAGTTTCATTTGTGTCTCATGACTGTGATAATTGTGCTTACTTAATGGATATAAATTTTATAGTACTAATTTATGATAGAAAGTACCTAAAATGATAGTGACTTTACATCCATGTTAGAATCACTTGTTACTTCTACATGATGTTTGTAATTAGTAATTTAGTATAGTTTTCCTCGTTAGTCTGTAGACTTGCTGGTAATGGAGACTATAGCTGTCCTATTGATCATTCTATCATAGATTCTAAACCAGTGCCTTGTACACAGTAGTAAGAGGTTCAGTAAATATATAAATGTTTTTAAAAGTTTAACTAATGAAATCAAAAGTAAAATTTCATCGCTGGGTCAAAATTAAAATTTTTAAGACTAAGTCTGAAGTTGTTTCTTACCCATCCTCGTAACACAGTCGTGACAGTGTGATGGGAAAAGAGAAAGGAGCATAGCATTATATTTTCAGGTTCTCCTTCAGCGTGAGGAGGCTAACTCTCCCATGTTACGGGTTGGGTGACTGGGACTCAGAGAAGTTAAATAACACGTCGTAAGGTCATCCAGCTCAAATATGATATAGCCAGTATTCCAGTACAAGTTAGTGTGAAACCAAGGTCTCTTAGTTCTCTTGTGCTGCTGTAAAACAAACAGAGCCATTTATCACTAGCCTGTAATTATGAAATGATGAAAAATATTATAATTTGCTAGAGAACAGTAACCTCTCAGTGGGAAACAGTGGAATACTGTAAGGGTAGCTGCTGTTTGCTTTGCACTTAACTGGGCGCTGTGGAAGAAACAGGAGATGGGTAAGTCATGATACCTGTCCTCAGAGATCATGCCTCCAGGAGAGAGTCTACAAAACACAACAGTAACAACAGTACACAGTATCCGACAATGTGACTTAAACGCCAAAAATATAAATGCTTCAGGAGGGGAGTATTAATAAGGGCTTACTATTTCACCTTTGTGGTACAAGTGGATCTTGGAAGGATGATTAGGATTTCAATACCTAGAAGGATAATTAGGATTTCAATGCCTAGAAGGATAGTTCCAATGTGAACCGAGAAGTGGCATGAATATGTTATGTTTAGGGTACAATGAGGATCATATCTAAACTAAGGGATTATTTTAGAGTAGCTGAAAATGCTGGAAAACTGTCAAGTGAAAAAGCAAACAGCCCCATCAAAATGCAGTGTCCACAAAGGCTGGGATCTTTGTCTCTTCGGTTCAGTATGTACCCCAAACACCCAGACTCATGTGTGGTATACAGTAGTTGCTGTCTAAGGTACATTTTTAATATTTTTAAAAAATTTACTTGGGTATAATTAATATGCAATAAGACATATGTAAGACATGCCATTTAATAAATATTTTAGTATTAAATCTTTTTATTTTAAATATTGTATTTAAATATTAAGTACTATTAAATATTTTAAAATATTAAATGGTATTTAACTGTGTAATGTTTTATTTCTTAAACAAAAAAGCAAGTAAGTCGAAAGGTAAATTTTTCTGAATCTGAATGGTAGGGTTGGGTGTTTATATTTTTCTCTATTATTTTGTGTTTGTTGGAAAGGAAAGCAAATTTTAAAGAAAAGCAATTAAATAATTATAGGGCCTTGGCCAGGATGGCTTAGTTGGTTGAAGTGTTGTCTGGTAAACTCAAAGTTCGCGGCTCTGATTCCCAGTCAGGGCATATGTCTGGGTTGCAGTTTGGTCGGGCCCATGTGGGAGGCAATCAGTTGGGGGTGGGGAGTGCGTGGGTGTGTGTCTCTGTCTGTCTCTCTCTCTCTCTCTCTCTCTCTCCCCCCTCCCCACCCCTTCCTCTCTCTCTGGAATCAATAAAAATTTTTTTTTTTTTAAAGTTTTAGAAATGATGAGCTGTCAAGGTTAAAGTTTTAGAAAATATTAGTGAACACAAAATTCTGGGGTTTTTTAAATATATCACTTTTTATCAAAGTAACATAGGCACATAGTTTAAAGGGGCAGTAGTGTGGCTTTGCCCTCTGGCTGACAGGCAGAGTCTGAAATGAGAGTTGGGAACGCTGTTGAAGGTGCTCCGCACTCACTCCTCCGCCCTCTGAATTCCCTCCCTCTTTCTTCCTGTCAGTTTCACCTAGTTTTTTAGAATTGGTCACAATTTTCTCATGAATAGGCTAAGAAATAAATTCACTATCAGCTTGTATTCAAGTCATAATGAAAACAATAAAGGTATGTAAAACAATTTTCAAGGGTATTTTCCAGAACAGACTCCACTATTCTACTTTAATTCCTAGCAAAACAGAGGCTACCGGGGAATTAGTGCTCCAGCCAAATTGGCTGTGGTTGTGGGCCCAACTCCATCAGCCAGGAAGAGACTGGAAGTCAGAACCTAAAATTAATCAGACTCTGGAATTACCCAATGAGAGGCTGCCACCGAGTCCACAGTTACCCAGATTACCTTCCTCGCCAGATCCTTTGGAGACTTTCGAGTGGGCCCAGGAGACCACTCCTAGTGCCCATTTTCTTCTGGCTCTCATTGCTTTGGAATGGGTCTGATGGACCTTCGGTGGCTATGACTGGCATCTGCTTTCTGTTTAAATATGCTTAAAACTTACATTATTATTTTTAAAGATTTTACTTATTTTTTAGAGAGGGGAAGGGAGGGAAAAGAGAGGGAGAGAAACATCAATGTGTGGTTGCCTTTCACGTGCCCCACCCTGGGGACCCAGCCCACAACCCAGGCATGTGCCCCGACTGGGAATCGAACCCCTGACCCTTTGGTTCGCAGGCCGTCACTCAGTCCACTGAGCCACACCAACCAGAGCTAAAACTTAACATTTTTAAATAGCAGTACTGTATTTGCTTTTTGTATATGTACTCTCCAGGGAGAATTTAAGAAACGTGTTCTTATTTGCTGCAGTCTATTTGAGAATTGATTTTTAATGCTTTGTAGAAATCAAGCTTGATTATGTCTCCTTGTGGGTAAAGTGTTTTTCTTTAGTTTTAAATCTATAGTGTAGTCTCTGGGACCTTGATATCATAAGCAATCTGTCGTGACCTAATAATAACATATTGTTAATTATATTGTTTTGGCCCTGGCCAGGTAGCTCAGTTGGTTAGAGGTCCATCCCCATATGCCAAGGTTGCGTGTTCAATCCCCTGTCAGGTCACATCAGGATCAACCAATGAGTACATAAATTAGTGAGACAACAAATCAATGTTCTACTTGTACTCTCTCCCTACCTCTCTCTCTTTCTAAAATCAGTAAAACTATATTGTGTTAGGCGCACATTAAAAAGTTGTAATGTAGTTTGGGGGTGACTAACATACAGACTTATTAAAGGATTGCACTCTAGTATTTTTTTAAGTTTATTTAATTTTTAAAACATTAAAATGCCATTGATTTCTTTTTTGTTTCTCTCCATAATCAGTTTGGTGTGTTTTCCTTAGTTAAATAACCAGACATTCCAAATCAGATAAAACAGACCTGATTTTTCCTAACTTGAATTTTGACAACTGACAACTTTAATGTGGCACTAGGCAGGCAGTTCACAACTATTGTCTGTGTTTGACTTCACGTAGCACATTTGTGTGCTATTACTCTTTATCTAAGAGACGGATGTGAATATACGTATGTGTTTTAGGTCAGCTTTGGAACAATAAAAATATTCTACACACTTAAGATGCAAACTAACTGAATTGACTATCAAGTTGGAGGCAACACCACACAGAAATTATTTCAAGTAACTTTAAAACATAATGATTTCACTGTATATCCTAGTGACAGCTTTGAGTTTGGTTTCTTCTTCTTAAGACCCTTTTAGTGCTACGTTAGAGATACATAGTAACTTATGGTAAAGAACATTAATGCATGCATGGGAATGAATTCATTTAAAATACCAAATTTGCAACTTTAGCTCTTGTTTTTTTTTACCTTTACAGCAAGGCAGAAGAGAATGAAAGAAGTAGATAATCTTGAAAGTATAAAAGAAGAATGGTAAGTTAATTTAATCTATGAAGTTTCTTTGTTGTTAATTCCTTTGTTAGTATCCTTTTCTGTTTTTACTACATTTCACTGACTAGGATAGTAAGTGTTATTATGATGATCTCAGTTAAATACCTGTTAGTAATATATTTTAAAGTAATGCTTTTTTACCATCGCTACAATCAGTGGATCTTAGTGAAGTCACTAAATCTTATTATTAATTTTTAAAAATTGTTAGGAAAGTTTATGTGACAATTGCCAAAAGTATTTTTAAGAATTTAAATGAAATAAACACATTCTTCTTTGGCAAAAAAAAAAATTGTTAACTTTTTCTCTGTTCACGTATCACTTCTGTCATGTAAGTGAGAAATGCAAGCAACTGCTTCATTAGCCTCTTGTGTTAGAGTCACAGTGGAAATATAATGGCTTTGGAGTCAGATATACCTGGGTTTGAATCCCATCTCTGTCTTACACTACCTCTCTGGACTTTGAGCAATTTAGCTAGATTATTTGAGCTTCAATATCTCATCCATAAACTGGGGCTATACCTAGGTACCTGATAGATTTCTGGTAGAATTGAATAGCCAACATAAAGCACTTAGCATATAGAAGGCACTCAGTGAATGGTAGGTGCAAAATCTATGGCTCTTACCAATGTGGATTACTTTATTCTCACCCATCTGAAGTGAAATATATTTTGTATTGAATATTATGCTTTGTTTTAAATCCTTCAAGTAAATTTCTTTCATTCGTAGTTCATTTAAGGAGACAGAAAAGTATGTGCTTCACACTTACAAATACTTTGTAAATGCTTCTGTACCTAACAAACATTGTTTTTCTCACAAAAGTGTTTATTGTTTTATGTGTATTTGATGTTAACTGTATAATTGTGAGATTGTGTCGGGGGTCTCCCAGACCACCCCCAGGTTTGATGATTCGCTGAGAGGGTTCACAGCATTGAGCCATAGTGATGGCTGTGATTTATCACAGCGGAAGGACACAAGGCAGAAGCGGCAAAGGGAGAAAGCACGTGGGGCGAAGTCCAGGGGGAACCAGGCACAGGCGTCCAAGAGTCCTCGCCCAGTGGAGTCACCTGGGACACACTTAATTCCCCCAGTATTAAGTTATGACAGCACATGCGAAATGGTATCTACCAGGAAAGGTCACTGAAAGTGTGCCTGGGCTTTTTACTGGGGGCTAGTCACAAACTAAAATTCCAAACTCTCATAAGGAAAGTGAGCAGGCCTTCGAAAGGACAGCAGTCAGGCCCACTATGTTAACTCTTTTCTACCCAGAAATACGTTGAATGGCTGATTTAAAAGACTAAAATTAACTTAGGACTTTTATTAAAAAGATTTTATTTATTTATTTTTAGGAAGAGGGGAAGGAAGGGAGAAAGAGGGAGAGAAACATCAATTGGTTGCCCGTCCCACACCCCCAGTTGGGGACTTGGCCCACCACCCAGGTGTCCTAACTGGGAATCGAACCTGCAAACTTCCAGTTCGCAGGCCAGTGCTCAGTCTACTGAACCACACCAGCTAGGGCTAACTAGATATCTTAATTGAGACTTAACTCACATACCAGATAATTTATGCATTTAAAGTAATCATTTCAGTGGTATTTACTACCTTCACAAAGCCATGCAACTATCACCACAGTCGATCTCATGACGTGTACGTCACCCCAGAGAGAAACCCTGTACCCATTGGCAGTCACCGCCCATTCTCCTGCACCCTGTCCCTGACAGCCACTAACGTACTTTCTGTCTCTAGATTTGCCTGTCCTAGGCATTTCATATAAATGGGATCCTATAATATGTGATCTTTTGTGACTGACTTTTTAAATTTAGCATAATGTTTTTGAGCTTCATCTTTGTTGTAGCATGTATCAGTATTTTGAATTTAATTAAGTAATTAATAAGATGTCTACACAAAAATATTAGCAATAGAGCATATAATTTTCTTTGTAACAAAAACAGATTTTGTTAGAAATAATAGTCCAGTAAAATATGAAAAGAAGACTGATTTTCTAAGTATATCAGTTGTTCAAAGGCTATAAATGGTGAAGATCCATATTTATCCTAAGTGCTACCAAAGCATACACAGATGCAAATCCTTCCCCTCTTTGGACAGCAGCTATCTGATAACCTTTTATACAGAACATAGTAGTGATAAGGAAGTGAGCTAAATAGATGTTTCAAAATCCCTTTCTTGAAACTTATGTCCTTTTTATTACTAGAGAAACTCCCGAGATGTCAAGAGTGTTTACTTAGCCATAGCAACGTTGGTAATCTGGTTTCCAAATTCTGAAGAGGAGGATTGATACTCGAATCATAAAACGATAGTGACAAGCAAAGAAAAGGAGGGCAGAGTAGCAGACAAAGATGGAATAATGAAGTTCTCTGGATATATTTAGTATTAAGGCAAGTCCATGTGCATCAGTATGTCCATCACATATTTTACTATGTTATAGCTTAATATAGTAAAGTATAAAGGGCTTCCTGAATTATAAAGAAGTTATTAAATGTGGTATACTTTCCTACTCTTTTCCTCTCTGTCCAGTAATGTCTTTCATGCTCCTATATAATTATTTTATTATTAGTTAACTTTATTTTTAAGAGTAGTTTACATATACAAAAGAATTGAGCAGAAGATACACAGTTCCCATACCCCTGTTGCCCTCCTCCACACACACGCACACAGTTTATTCTGTTCCTAACATTTTATATTTGTGTGGTATAATCATTACAGTTGGAAACCAATGCTGATACATTATTATTACGTATAGTTTACATTTGGGTTCACTCTCTGGGTTGTATAGTTCTGTGAAGTTTGCCAAATGGTGCTAATGTATAGTGTTGTGTTTTTAATTCTATATGCCAATTGTTAATTGTTGGTGTACAGGAAAGCACTTCACTTTTGTGTATTAATCTTGTATCTTGCAACTTTACTATAATTGCTTATTAGTCCCAGGAGTTTTTTTCTATTAATTTCCTGGAATTTTCTATGTAGACAGTCATGTCATCAGCAAACAAAGATTGTTTTATTTCTTACTTCCTGCTCTGTGTACTTTTTATTTCTTTTCCTTGTCTTAGTGGTTTAGCTAGGATTTCCCGTATGGCTTCTAAGGGGAGTGATGAGAAGGGACATCCTTTCTTGTTCCTGATCTGAGGGGGAAAGTGTCTAGTTTTTCACCATTCAATATAACGTTAGCTGTAGGTTTCTTATAGATGTTCTTTGTCAAGCTGAGGGAGTTCCTATCTCTTCCTACCTTGCTGAGAGGTTTTTTTTTTTTATCATGAATGGATGTTGGACATTGTCAGATGCTTTTTCTTCATCTGTTGTTAAGATCGCATGATTTTTCTTCTTTAGTATATCGATGTGATGGATTACATTAATTGGTTTTCTAATGTTGTACCAGCCTTGCATACCTGGAATAAATCCTATTTGGCTGTGGTGTAGGATTCTTTTAAACATATGGTTGGATTTATAATGCTAATATTTTGTTATCTGTGTTCATGAGAGATATTGTCTGTAGTTTTCCTTTCTTTTAATGTCTTTATTTGTTTTAGTATCAGGGTAATGCTCTCCTCATAGAATGAGTAAGGAGTGTTCCCTTCCACTTTTATTTTCTGGGAGAGATTGTAGAGAATTGGTATCATTTCTTCCTTAAACGTTTGATAGAATTCACCAATGAAATAATTCATGCCTCGTGCTTTCTGTTTTGGAAGATTATAAATTATTGATTCAATTTCTTTAATAGATATAGGCCTATCTGTATTATCTATTTCTCCTTATGTGAGACTGTCTTTCATGGAATTGGTCCATTTCATCTAATTTATCAAATTTGTGAGCATAGAGCTATTTATGATGCACCTGCACACACTGTGCTCTGAACCTCTTAAAAACCTAGACTGTTTCCTACTTGTCTTTGCATCTCCCTACCACCTAGCATATAGTAGGTACTGAATAAATATTTGAATGACTTGAATTAACTAATAAATTTCAGTAGAATTTACCTACCAAACAAGATAAAAGAAATAAAACTTCAGCTAGCCTGGGTGCCCACAGCTTTATTGGCTTTCTACTTAGTACTCAGTAAGTAAGTATAAACTGCTTTCTGAACAGAAAAAAATAATTAAAAATGATAGTGCATAAAGCAGTTCTAATGATATTATCTAACATTTAAGCACTTACTGTTTGCCAGTATGTGTACTGGTCTATACTGTATACCAGGCACAGGCCGTACATGTATTTGCGTTTAATGGTCACAGCAACCACATGAAATAGGTGGAAGTATCTGCATCTTGCAGATGAGGAAGCCAAATCCCAGAGAGGCTAAGTTCCTTACCCAAAGTCAACACGGCGTAGTGAAGGTGCCTAAGCAAACACCAGGCCCTGAGCTTTTAGACAGTATCCTCTACTGACACCCAGCTTTACTGTTAAAGAAAGGAGGAAATCCTTAGTATTGTGAGAAGTCATCTTAGGGTGTGATTATTTTTGAGTGTTAAGTATCATGTCATTGCCTTGGAAAAGGCGTAACTAATACCTTATGATAATGTGGAGCGTCTTAAGAGTAGATATAGAATTACCTAGAAGAGTAAAAAGAAGGTGCTTAAATTAAAATATTGCCCTGTCAGTAATTTGATAACAATATAATGCCAGTTTGAGAGACAGTCTAGGGCAGTGATGAAGGGCACAGGCCTCGGTAACCTGAATTCAGTTTCCAGCTCCACCTCCCAATAGCTTTGTGGTCTCGGGCAAATTACTTCGGCTTTTTCTTTATCTATTAAATGGGGATAAAAACAATACATGCCTTTTAGATCTTTGTGGGGATTGAATGAGTTAAACACATGTAAAGTACTTAGAATGGTTCCTAACATGTGTTAATAAATGCTCAGTGAATGTTAGCTGTTGAGAGAGCCTGCATAGCATATTATGGTTAGGAACATAGACGTGGAAGACATTAACAGGGTTTAACTTCTGTTTCTGCCACTTGCTATCTGCGTAACCTCAGACGTGTAACTTCACCTCTCTGTGACTCATTTTCCTTACTTATCAAATGTGGCAAGAGCATCTGTAGTCCCTGGCACAGCAGAAGAGCTACACAAAGTGCCGGTTATTTCTTGACTCTAAGAATTTATATCTCAGAACATTTATGAATCTTCTATATGGCTTTAAAAAAGATCAGCCAGAAGTAATTTTTCTATCCATCAAATCTTAGGTAATATTTCCTATATAAATACAAAATGAAAACCAGTATTCATAAGGGAGCAAAATGCGTGAAAGGATTCAAAAGGTTCACACTTCCAGGTGTAAAACAAATAAGTCACAGGGAGCAATGCACAGCATGGCGACTAGACTTACAAACGCTGCGTTGCACATTTGAAAGCTGGTAAGGTAAGTCTTAGAAGCTTTCATCACTCGTGGCGACAGATGTTAACTAGGCTTATTGTGGTGATTATTTTGCAGGTTATACAAATATCAAATTATTGTTTGTACACCTGAAACTAACGTAATATATGTCAATTATACCTGTATAAACGAAAAAAAAGAGGAGAGTATTAAACCACTAGAAATGAACGTGTTCAGTGGGAAATCTCATTCTGAAATGTGTAAAGTAGCAAAACTGTGATTGTAACAGTCCCCAATGGATTCAATACCTTTCGTTTCAAGAGTGCTTTCTATTCCAAAAAGTACATTATAACCCCCTTTTAAAGCCATTTTGAGTCCTTTACAAAGAAGACATTTTTTACCCTGGACCAGTAGTTTTCAGCCTGGTAAGATACACACACACACACTCACTCACTCACTCACTCACTCACTCACACGCACGCTCACCCCAGGCATGTATTTGCCTGTTGCACTTTGGGGGAGGAAGGATTGCATGCTACTGACATCTAATACATCAAGACCACAGAAGCTGCTAAACATCCTACAACACGTAGGGCAGCCTGCACAACAAAGCCTGAACTTGAGAAAACCCAGCTCTGGACCAAAAGGGTTAATGATTTCCCAAGGTCACATATCTATTATTAATACCTTAACTTGGGAGAGGATCTAAACTGTGGACTTAGAAGTAGCATAGCCTCTCAGTACAAGATCCGTAAACTAGAATAATTTATGTACATTTTTAAAGCACTAGTAGTCAGTAATGATTATTTTTCTTTTTTCGTATATAAAGGGTTTGTGAAACAGGATCTGACCGCCAACCCGTTAGTGATAATCGACAAACAACTTGTGAATATTTTGTTGACAGCCTTTTTGAGGAAGCTCAGAAGGTTGGTGCCAAATGCTTGTCTGCCGCTGAACAGAAGAAAGAGGTAAATGCCCGTAACTTTTTTCTTTTCCAGTGTTTCTCAAAAGATGGACCTTGTAGCTGAGTCCCTGAGGTCCAAACTCTTTTCATAGCATTGAGATGTCGTTCACTTGGGTACCGCATTGACTTCGCACTAATGCTGCGAAAGCGATGTTGGGCAGGAAAGCTGTTGGCACCTGAGAAGGAATCAAGACAGGGGCACCACATACTAGTAGTTCGTATTCCTAGTTTTTAGTAGTTAGTAGTTTGTTTTCTTTGCCCGCATTTGCAGGGGGGAAATAAACACTAGTTTCAGTTAAGAATGTTCTTGATGACGCAGTAAAAATTATACATTTTATTAAATCCCAGTCCTTGAGTACACATCTTACTAATATTGTGTGACAAGTGTGAAGTGCACATAAGCATTTCTACAACATATAGAAGTATATTTTTGATTAACATGATACATTTTGTTTCTTACTGCTTTGCAGGTAGATGTAAGTATAAAATTATGGAAAAATGGATTCACAGTCAATGATGATTTCCGAAGTTATTCAGATGGTGCAAGTCAGCAGTTTCTGAACGCCATCAAAAAAGGGTAAGCAGTCTGTAAATAGAAGGATATTTTTGGCATGTTTCATTTGGAAGAATCCTTTCTAATCTTGTTCACACATGCCTACACATTCACAGATACTTACAAATTCAGATTTTCATAGAACAGGTTTTCTTAAGAGAGCCACAATTTTAATTTTTTTTTTTAAAGTGTAGGAATTTTAATTCTGATCAATCAAAATCTGATTTAAGCTAATTCACTTTGCCAAGAATTACTTAATACCACATCCTAGTCGCTATGTTTAATATTTATGTTTAAATACCTTTATAGTCTTTGAATGGTGATTTTTATTGCACAAGTACCATTTAGTTTAACCATTTATCAGTGGATCAACATTTGGGTCATTTCCACATTTTGGCTCTTATGAATAATGCTACTGTGAACTTTGTGTATAGACTTTTGTATGGACCTATGTTTTCAGTTCTCTCAGGTCTAGGGACAGAATTATTGTTAACTCGATGTATAACTTTATGAAAAACTGCCCAGCTGTATTCCAAAGTGACTGTGCCATTTTACATTCCCACCACCAACAATGTATGAGAGTTGTAATTTTTTCATCTTCTCTTTTTAGTGTCAGGGTTTTTTTGGGAGGTGGGTAGTGATCTTTTTTTAATCCTCACCTGAGGACATGCTTACTGACTTTAGAGAGATTGGGGGAGGGAGAGAGAAAGAAAAGGAGAGAAACGTCAATGTGAGAGCAACGTGGATTGGTTGCCTTTTGTACACGCCTCGACGGGGACTGAACCCCACAACTGAGGCATGTGCCCTGACCGAGAATCAAAAGTTTTGGTTTGTGAGAGGACACCCAAGCATCTGAGCCACACCAGCTCCCGCTAGTGTCAGTTTTTTAAAATTATTATTATAACTGTCCTAGTGGATATGAAGTGGTAGCTTATTGTGGTTTTGATTTGCATTTCCCTAATGACCAATGATGTTGAACATCTTTTCATCTACTCACTAACCTTGTGTGTATCTTCTTTCAACAAAATATCTATTCAAATCCTTTGTTTCTTTTTTTTTTTGCCTACGTTTAAAATTGGGTTATTTACCTTCTTGTTGAGTTGTAAGAATTCTCTGTATATTCTCAATACAAGTCCCTTATCAGATACATGATTTTAAAAGATTTTCTCCTTTGCCCTGACCAGTGTGGCTCAGTTGGTTGGGCATCGCTCCGCAAAGCGATCCCCGGTGTCAGGGCACATGCCTGGGTTGCAAATTCAGTCCCTGGTTGAGGCATGTGCAAGAGGCAACTGATTGATGTTTCTCTCTCACATCGATGTTTTTCTCCCCCTCTTTCTTTCTCACTTCCCCCTCTCTAGAAATAAATAAATAAAATCTTTAAAAATAATAAAAAATGAAAATACAGATTTTTCTCCCATTATTTGTATTGTCTTTTCATTTTCTCGATGATGTCCTTTGAAGCACAGAAGATTTTCATTTTGATGAGGTCTAATTTATTTGTTTTTTCTTTTGTTACTTTTGCTTTTGGTATCAGATGTAAGAAACCATAAGTTAGTCCAAGGTCTTGAAGGCTTACTCCTATGTGTTATTATAGTTGTGTTTAAATTTTGACCACTGTCTCTGACCACTCTTTCAGGATAGATTGCTAGGAGAAAAATAATGAGTTAAAGGCGTGAACATTTTTTTCAGTTATTGATGCCTCTGTGCTTCAAAAAAGTTAATATTAAATTTGTATTTCATGGCAGTCTCTCCTTAGTGCTTTTTTTAAGGTGTGACATCGATTTATGTATGGTGCAAAGCACTTTTTTTGTTAGTTTCTAATTCAGAAGAGTTGATAGTAACCAATTTTCAGTGTATACACACACATATATCTCTGTTTACTTGTGTGTGTGTATATATATATCTCTATAATATAATACAGATTTTAAATTGCTTTAAATATGTAATATAATTAATTTTGAATCTTTTTCAAAGTTATACATAAGTTGCAAGTGTAGTATAAAGAACTTTTTTCCTAAAACCATTTGGGAGTTAAGTTGCTAAAAGGGGTGCCTCTAGAAGCAAGGCCATTTCCTACATAACCACAATACAACCTTGAATTGATATGTTACTGCCATTTAATCCTCAGACTCTATTTAAGGTTCACTGTTTGTCATAATATTATCCTTCATTAGCAGAAGCATCCAATTTGGAATCACTCATTTCTTTTAGATGTCATGTCTCTTTAGTCTCCTTCACAATGGAACAGTTTTTTAGTTTTCTTTGATTTTTTTTTCATGACCTTGACACTTGAAGATTATGGATCAATTTATACAGATTTATATAGATTGTCTCTCAGTTCAGATTTATCTAATTTTGTCTTCATGAAAAAATTAACATTACATGTTATGAGTAAGAATATCACAGAAGTAATGCTATCCTAACTTTAATAGTCATTTATTTTTCTTTATAGTTTAACCCAGGTAGCACGGATCCCTAACCACTGTAATTTCATTTTATCTGTTTTTTTAAAGATTTTATTTATTTATTTTTAGAGAGGGGGGAAGTGAAGGAGAAAGAGAGGGAGAGATACTTTAATAGGTTGCCTCTTGCATGCATGTACCCTGACCTGGAATCAAACCAGCGACCTTTTGGTTCCAAGACCAGCACTGAATCCACTGAACTGCACTACCCAGGGCTCATTTTACTTGTTTTTGAACTTTATGTAAATGGAATGTGTTTATTTTTTGTGTCTACTCAACATACTTCTTTGGGATATCCATCCGTGTAGTTGCATATAGCTATACTTGGCATGAATTCTAGAAGCAATATAAGAAGGATGGATAAATTTGGTTATGTAAATATTAAAAACATATATGTGTCATATAAATGGACCATATACACAATTCTTGCAAATCAGTAGGAAAAGTTAGAAATAATATATGTTTATACTATTTAATCTACTTTATAACAGGATAATAGTGTGTATGTGGTAAAATGAATGACATATCTATATGCTAACATGAGAAGATTTCAATGGTGTATTGCTTTTTAAAAAAGCAGTTTGCAGATAGTGTGTGTAGATTGATACCCACTATGGCAAACACACACACACACACACACACACACACACACGAAAAAAATCAAAGGTTTTGTTAAAGTAAGAGTGGTATAAGGACTATCACTTTCAAGTTGATGTGTTTACTTTTCTTATACCTTATTTTTTAGAACATGCATGTATTATTCTTAAACTTAAAAATTTGAAGTATAACATACAGAAAAGTACACAAATCATAAGTATATGGTAAATAAATTTGTATTATTTCAGACGTCAGAATAAATCAGTTATTTTGTAAAAGTTTGTTAAAATTTGTAGTTTGTTAAAAATTTCCCCATGTAACTTCTTAGCTTGTAATTAATATATGCCAAGATCTTGTAAACTTTCAAGTGCCCTTAACAGGTCGTAAGATTCAGCAGGTCTCTGTCCACCTCCTGCAGTGCCCCCAGCACTGCTCTGGGGATTGTTAAGGTGTAGGAGTCAAACCGAGAGGCGGTGTGGTGTGCCAACAAAGCCCCAGGCTGAGCTCAAGCCTGTGTTACTTTAATCTCTCTGTTGGGGCATGAAATGGGAAACCAGTTTTCAAAAATTTAACATGTTTCATATTTTATTTTTATTTATTATTTCCAGAGTAAATCTGTATTTTTCTTTAAAAATTGCAATGAGAGCTTGATTTTTCTAGTACATTTTTAGCTCTATTCAGACACCTATAAAAATGATCAAATCGTTTAAATTTAGCAGCATACAGTCATCAAGTACCTCATGGTTTTTGTGCTATTCTAGGTACTGCTGAATAACTCAAGCTGTTCATGAATCTGCAGTCTTAAGAATTACTCTGTTGTTCTTCCTGGTTTTTGGTATTCATACTATTTAACTATTTTAAATGCATTCAGTTTTTATTGTAAAGAGTATATTTTATTTCTATGTTTTTCAGTTCTTTTTGCATATAGAGCATGTTTTTCAGAGAAAGAAAAAACTCCTGTGAGCTTTATCACTTTTTTTCTTTCCCTTCAAGGGAATTGCCGTTAGAATTAGAGGGAACTTTCGATAAAGAGGAGGTGGATGTTAAAGTTGAAGATAAGAAACATGAAGTATGTGTGTCAACGAAGCCTGTGTTCCAGCCCTTCTCAGGGCAGGGTCACAGACTGGGCAGGTGAGTCGGCTCAGGACCTGCGCTTTCCAGAGCTGAGGCTTGACTCGTACGCAGCCCAGCGTTATTTCCCAGGGAGACCACTCGTACAGAGTTTACCACTCCTCCCCCTGGAAACATTTCTCATGCTTTTATGAGGACTCCTCTAGGTCGTATTTACCTTGGTGTAAATTAACATACGCTGGCATTGCAGTAAAAATATCTTGGAGCCTTGTTTGATTTCATCAAATCTGTAGGGCCTGGCTTACTGAGGACATTAGGCAAAATGGGATGGATGAATCATTTTCTTTTTCTCCCTTACGCCCACTGCTTGAGCTTTGCCATTAAAGTCAGAGCACGTATGCTGGCTTTCGGATACAAGGTTCCTTCCCTTGTACACTTACTGCTGCTTCCAGCATCATGTCCTATGATCAGTATCTGAATTTTGAGGTAATAAAAATGAAAAATGCCTGATAAAGTTATTAGTATCAGTATCAAGACCTTTTTTTAATTTTTTATTTCTGTTAATGAAAATGAGCTTTATCATCAAGTAATAAATATATACAAGGATGTAAACAGTGTTAGTCATTTTCTTCCAGATGTTTACAATATCAAAACCTTTAATTGTTTTCAGAATTTGAAGTCTTCATAATATCATAGTATCTATTATCATTATATCATTATGCCTTATAACAGGATATGCAAAGAGGTTAGATGTGGAATCACTTTTAGTTTTATGAATTCTCATATATTAATTATCAAGATTGGTAAGGTATATTCAGATTCATCCACATATATAAAAATATCTGGATGTGACTTTCAGAATTATCAGAAAATACTTTTTTTTAAGATTTTATTTATTTATTTTTAGAGAGAGGGAAAGGGAGGGAGAAAGAGACAGAGAGAAACATCAGTGTGCAAGAGGTACATCAATTGGTTGCCTCTTGCATGCCCCCAACTGGGGACCTGGCCTGCAACCCAGGCATGTGCCCTGACTGGGAATCAAACTGGCGACCTTTCGGTTCATAGGCCAGCGCTCAGTCCACTGAGTCACACCAGCCAGGGCTGTTTCCTTTTTTTCACCAGGGACTTATCTCTACAGAGAATTTATAATTTCTTTTAGTGGGTGAAGATCAAGTCCAAATTATTCAATACAGTACTAACAGTATATTTCTGTAGCATTTTCTACAAGTTTACAAATAACTTGGATAGGCATAATTTCATTAGATTTCTATAATCATATATAATGGACATAATTAACATTAGTATCTTTATGTTATTACTGAGGAAACAGTTGTGACTTACTAAAATCTTCCTAAAAGCTATGTTTAATGTAAAATGTTTGTAGTAATTTTTTAATGATAAAGTTTTGCTTAATGAAAAAAACCACACACCTGACTTTGTTGTCCGGATTTTTTTAGTGCCACACCAAAAATTATTTCTAAAGCAAAAAGTATTGAAGTTGAGAAGAAAAATAATTTGTCTCTTGTCCCACTAAACAACCTGGAACCCATCACTAATATACAGATCTGGTTAGCCAGTGGGAAAAGGATTGTTCAGAAATTTAACATGTCTCATAGGTGAGTCTTTCATTTCATTATCTTTGATTTTTTTTCCTGATTTTAATATTTACTTCTTTTATTAAATTCAGTCAAGAGTCATTTTAAGAATTAACCAAGGATCTTAATGAACGGTTCTCTAAACATCATTTATCATGACAGCGGAAATTCTTGGGCATTAATGAAGTATTTTCAGTCTGTTTTATGGATTATCTTTCTTTTCATTTGATAAATTTTCCTGTTTAACTGGATACATAATTTTAAAAGAATTCTTTTTAATCTGTGTTAAAAATCAGTCATTAGCATTATATGTGTATCTTTGTGTTAATGGTAGAAAAAGAATGAAAATACAGAAAAGTATTGAAAGAAATTGAAGTCAAATTAAATCCATCAACTAGAGATAATCACTATTATCAGTTTGATGAGTTTTTCCAGTTTTTTAAGTCGTCTTAATTTTTTTTATTTTAATGAAAAGTAGGAACATACTATATATGTTCCTTCTTTATTTAAAAACATTTAAAAAATTTGTTAGGGAATATTATACAGATAATTAAAATATACAAAGTCTGTCCAGAAGACATCCAGCCATGTACTATGCACAATAGACACGTTTATTGAAGAAGATACAACATGTAAGAAACATTGTACAAAGGACAATGACACCTCAGTCCCCTTCAAAGTAGACACCTTGGAACCTCACACAGTTCTTCCAGTCACCTTCAGCTGCCCTGTCTTAGTTCCTTGAATCTCATCAACAGTCTGAAATCTCTTCCTTTTCAAAGATGATTTTAGTTTTGGGAAAAGTCAGAAGTTGCAGGGTGCCGAATCTGGGCTATATGCGGGCTGAGTCACCTGGATGACTTGATGATTCACCAAAACACTACACGATGCCCTGGCTGGCGTGGTTCAGCTGAGAGTGTCAGCCTGTGAACCAGAAGGTTGCCAGTTCAATTCCCAGTCAGGACATATGCCTGGGTTGTGGGCCAGTACTCAAGAGACAACCAGTCAATGTTTCTCTCTCACATCAGTGTTTCTCTCCCTTACTTTCTCCCTCCTTTCCCCCTCTCTAAAAATAAATAAAAATTTTTAAAAATATTTTAAAAAGAAAAACAACTCTGCACAAGACGTGATGCATTACAGGGAGCATTGTCATTATGAAGTTGACAGTCACCAGCTGCCCAGAGCTGTAACCTCCTGAATCAACCATATATTTTCCCTGGAGGAATGTTCAAGCTTGTTGCAAAATTTGATGCAGATTCATTGCACTACCTATTCAGTTATTTTGAATGCTGTAGCCACACACACACATGCTCACAAAGGCATCTACCACTCCCACTGACTAATACAATGAAGTCGTCATTGTTCACACATGTGCATTCCAGCCCACTCCTCAGCTGCCAGGTTACATCAGTGTCATGCAAACCATTCTTGTTATAGTAACAATGGCTAGACTTCTTCCAGGCAGACCTCATGTATGCATAGTTAAAATAAACACACATGTACCACCCAGCTCAAAATATACTTCTGACATTTCCCATCACAACTAGTCACCTAGATTTTTTTCCCCAAATGACTAAAGTGTTTAAAAAACTTTGGCCAACTATATATGTTAAGTGATGATTAATCAGGGTTTTGTTTTTAAATTGGAAGTTTAGTCCACTTTTTATGGTATGTATGGCATCTTGAAGCAGTTGAGTTTAATACTACCATCTAGCTCTTTGTTTTCTCTTTATCCCATGTCTTACTGATCTTTAGTCCTTCTTTTTGCTTCCCTTTGAGCTTAACAGGTATTTTTTTTTTTATCTTCTTACAGCTTTTAAGATTCACATTTTTTTTTATTATCTTGACGTAATTGTAAAGATCATAGTATACATTTGCAATTTTTACTGAGGTTCCTTTAATCTTTACTATTTTCATACTTTTTATATTCATATTGTTTGCCATAAACTTTAGCCTCTAGTTATCCAATTTTTGGTACTCAAATAAATACACAGGAACTATGTCCTAGATTTCTTTGGCAACCCCCACAGGTTTATTAGAGTGGCAGTTCGTGAGTTTTAGTGAATTGAGTGAATGGGAGAATTTTGTCTTTCGCGGTATGTCGCGCTGCCCTTCACTTGGATTGCACCGTTTTTCACATTTCCGCGTCTTTGCAGTGGGGATGCATCCATTGTTGTCCATATGGCAATCACGTCACAATTCCTTTTGCCTTAGTATCTGCCTCAAAGCCTGCAAACAAGTGTCAGATGAACAAAAAACATTCCAGAGACAGCAGTAGAGTGCTTTTTACAAGAAATTCTGTATCACCAACACAACTGATGATTCAGAGGGTGGGTACCATGTGGAAAAACATGGGCATGAATGACCGAATCAAAAGTGATCCCAAGGATCCGAGTCTGAATAATGTTCAAGTATTAGAAATGACTTAACCATTTTATTCTACGAAGCACATGAGTGATTTGATAATGTTTATATGAAATTAAGTTAAAAGTGCTCTTTCAATAAATATAAAATGAAATTCTAAGTGTTAAGAAAATATTTTGTCGTCATCTGGGCTTTTTAATACATAAAACGATGTGTCTTAAAATCAATGGCATCTTAGTTTTAATGAACCGCGTACACATTCTCCCTCTCTAAATATATACACATGCTTAGGTGAATTTAATTTTGAGCTAATTTCAAGATTGCAATGATTATTTTACATAGTGTTCATTATACTTAGATTCTACATGCACCGTGAAGGATTTTCCTAATTGGATTTGAAGCACAGCAAAACCTGGTTTTTAAGAGGAACCTGTGTCTGTCTGTGCAGGATTACTAGTTGGACCATTTCTGATCCATTCAGAGCTGGATATGTAGACATGTAAACTTTTTACTGTAGAAACTTTGAGGTACATAAAAGAGAAGATAATGATCTGTGACTTTGTTTCCACTGAACTACTTTTAAGCAAATCCCAGGTTTCATATAGTTTCATATATAAATGTTTCAGAATACATCTCTAAAAGGTACTCTTTAAAAATGTAACCATAATACCCATATCACACCTAAGATAATTAATGGTTAATTCCTTACTATCACCAAGGGTCAGTCTTTAACAGACAGCCCGAACGATCAGTTCTAGCATTATAATTTGAGTGTCTGTGTAATAACACTGCCAGGTATCTTCACAAGTTATTACTTTAAATTAGCTAATTCAGATTCTCATAAAGTTATATTAATAGCGTGTGCTATTTTACAGGATACGCCACATCAAGGACTTCATCGAAAAGTACCAAGGATCTCAGAGAAGCCCTCCCTTTTCCCTGGCGACAGCACTTCCTAGCCTCAGGTTGCTAGACGAGACACTTACCCTGGAAGAAGCAGACTTACAGAATGCTGTAATCATTCAGAGACTCCAGAAAACCACGGAACCTTTTAGAGAACTTTCATAACATTGATTTTTGAAACACTAAGTGGAAAGTTTGCAGAGAAATCGTGGTTCTAAGTGGACCTGCAAACCAGAATGGGGGAGAGTCGGGTTCGCTGGACTTCTGGTCTGCATCCTATCCACCTCCCTCCGGAGGAGAGGAGTTTTAAGTAAGTACAAGTCAGGAGAGTAACCCATGACTGGAAGCTGAGTTCACTGCACTGCCTCCCAAAGGCTACTCAGAAAAATATACTTATTTTCAAATACCAATTATTCAGCATAAGGTATTTTAAATGACTGTATCATTTAGTATCTTAATGTGGTACAAATCAGCAAGTGTGTTCACAGCATCATTCATTTAAACATTTCTGAACAGCAGTGATTTATTTAAATGTTAGCTGTCTCAGAACTTTTAAATAGCAATACATTAAAAATTATACATGGCAGGGTAAAAGCATCAATGTCATTAGTTTATACCTGAGACACAATCAAAAGGCTGGAAGGAATTGCTTTCACTGCAGCTATACCTAAACCTCAGAGTGTTCTAATTTGCATTTTCTAATGGTAAGATATTAATTTGACAGTAATACCTGTTTTTTCATGTAAGAATAAAATTCTGTAGCTTAGTATAATGTCAGTATTAACCTGCCTACTCATTTCTACATTTTAAAGAAGTGTAATTTTTTAAATTCTCCAAAAACCCCAGTTTATCCCCTATTTTACTTCAAAATTATATATTTCAAAATAAAAAACAATTTATTTCAAAAATGAGGGGCTTGCTCATAGCTTATGTTTGGAGTTAAGTCATTCATTTGAGACTACTTATTTAGAATCCAATGTTGTCACATTGCTAATTAATATTTTTAAATGCATCTTGTATGGTTTTCTGTTCTATACATTAGAGTCAACCTGTGTATACATTAAAGGATTATTCATTACATTCTTCTTATATCACCAGGGAAAACATGCTTTTTTTGCCCAGACTTTAAAACTGGTTAAACTTCAATGTTCCACTGTCAGATTAAATTCCCTTGCCCAAAAATAAGCTTAGGAGGTTTTTTTGCAAACAATGTTTCAAATCGTATTTAAAGTGAGGTATTCACTGAGAGTGCCAAGGAGCTAAGTAGCCATGCCTGTCAGCAGTGATTTTCATAGGGGGCTGGACATTTATTGGGAAGAGCAACTCGCAAACTTTATGGCCTCAAGACCTTTAGTTTATGTGGGTTCTAATTATATTAAAAATTAAGTTATCAAATATTTATTCCTTTAAAAATAATAAACATGTTAATATAAACATTATTATGAAAAAATGTTTATTTTCCAAAACAACAACAAAAAAGATTTAGTGAGAAAAGTGGCATTATATTCCATTTTTTGCAAATGCCTTCCCTGTCTAACTTACAGGAGACAGATGGAATGTCGTATCTGTTTCTACATTCAACCTGCTGTGAATGTAGCCTCTAGTAAGTGGTACTGTATGTTCATGAGAAAAAACAGAACAAATAACGTCTTAATATGACTATGAAAATAGTTTTGTGGACCCCCTGAAAGAGACCTTCTTCTAGAGCCGTGATTCTCAAGCCTTAGTGTAAGAATCACTCAGAAGGCTTTTCATGACGCCTATTGCTACTCCTTACCATGGACATTCTGATTCATCGTATCTGGGATGCAGCCCAGGCCTCTGTGTATTCCATCTCCTTTGAGTCTTAGGTGTGGAGTGGAAGAATGGGCCCTCAGGAAACCCCGCACGAGAACTTCCCCAGTAAGGAAGCGGCGCCATGCGTCACCGCGGGCCGCGGAAGACCCTCCTCTGAAACGGCTGCTAGTCCACGATTTATCTTTGTCCGCCGGTTTGTTCTTAGGCTGCTCCTCTTCAACTCTGAACTAATCATGGCATAAACCTGTACTTTATCTCCTAAAAGAACGGCTAAGACAAGGCTGGAACACTTAGATGAGGTTTTTATTAAAGGCTCAGGAATAACAAAAGGGAAGTCCACACACACAGCCAGATGACCTGTTTTACAGAAGACAGCTTCTCCTTGAGGGCCATCTGAGGGACGCTTTCTTCCTTCCAGAGGGCAGAGGCCTGTCTCTATTGGGAAGAGAAGGAGGACAAAGGAAAACCTTTTCCTTTGGTTCTTTACTCCCAGAAATGAACAGATATGTAACTGAAAATAAATATCTTCAGTAATGTTTACAACTGTGGTAGAGCCCTCTCGCTAATAAAACAAAAATAAAGGCATTTTTAAAATAATGAGCGGACAGTAAAATCAGTGAACTTCTCTTTGAAATATAAAATAATTATTTTATTTTCAAGAATATGTAAGAAAAATGTTTCATATAGGCCTATCATGAAGGATTTTATAATTTCTACTTGCATAATTATAGTCATTATGTGATTCTCCCTATATTTCTATAAAGGGGCCTCTCTCATTGGAAATCTGTCTTGTACCTATAGAAAAGCCTCTTTCATGGATTTTCCAGTTTATAATCAATTACTTAACCAGAAGACACATTGGAGGCTCTCCTGTGTGTCCATGGAGAATACATCCCAGCGAGAAGCTCCTCTAGGGAAAGACTTGCCACCAGCAATAACCTTCATTTTTGTAACTGTAAAAACATTCATTGATGTGAATAATATCCTCAGAGGTTTTCTAAAATGAGAATCACCTGATGAAGATTTTTACCTGAAAGTTTCCAATTGTAAAGCTGTTAAATGTGTAAATATTCAAAACATGTTGATTTTAGAAAGTATAAACTGAATTTATCACAGGAAGGCAAAATGGAAAATAAACATCTTAGGTGTGGAATATAATTTGAACTAAGTAGTTCAAAACCATTTTCAGTTTCTTGAAAATCATTGTTAGGGCCAGTATATAGACATACACTTCTAATTTTGCAGATTTTAATGTATTGGTTAAATTACTATGCATTATCAAGGTTACAAAAGTGATCTTATTTATTTTATGTACTTCTCTCATTCAGAATACTTTTTATTACATTTCATTGTGCTGAAAATACAGTATTTATGCATCTAATTTAGTGCCTTAAAATAGTTTGAAAGCAATCTTGCTAATGGTTAAAGAACTGTTGTCTTAAGGATGAAATACTGTTTATTAAAGGATCTGTGAAGTAATTTATACTTGTTTGGTATAAAATAGTTACATATAAGTGCATTTGTCATTTTTATTTGGCAAACTCATTCAGTTTGAGATTTCACAAATGTTTATTAGGTGCCTTCTGTTTGCCAGGTACTTTAACCAATGTTACTTTCACTTAATACTCAGAAATGTAAAAATGTGATATTTTTAATACTAACTCAATGGTTGTGTTTATTTTTTAAACCACCCTTTGTGACCTGAGTTGAACTAGCATAAAGACTCCGTGGTAGGATTTACTTATTTGTTCTTTCTCGAAGTACAAACCATTTCATTAAAAAATTGTTCATCACAGTAAATATTCAAATAGCAGTGGTTTATTTGGTAGACTAATATTTGACTCTTTGTTGTTTGCTTTAAATGTATTTTTGCACAGATAATTCATATACATTGTAGAAAATTATAAACTGCAGGTATGTTTAAATGATCTTTAAATCACCTATTATTTCACCACTCAAGATAACCACTGATAACATTCTGATGTGCATCCTTTCGGATATTTTTAAGTATATCAATCTTTAGTTTTATTTTAAATAAAAAGCAGGCGTTTTGGTTATTGCTGTTTATTGAAATCTAACATATCTGTTTTTAACTGAAAATTGCATTAGGCACATGCCATGATTTTAAGTATAAGAGTAGCTGTTAGGAACAAATGCCTTTTATAGTAATTACATTTTTGTGCAACAAAGAGATGGAGGGACTTTGTTTACCCAATTCAAAATGCGAGTTATAGTATTCTACGCAAAAGTACAAATACTGGGGATGAAGTGTTGCCAGACCTGCTAAAAATGCATATAGAATGATGTGATTAACAGTGTATGTTTAGTTTTCAAGGAATTAAATATTTAGCACATTCACTAACTAATTGTCCTTCCACTATGGATAGGGTTGCAATCAAGGGAAAAGAAGGTACCCATTCCATATATTAAAGAATTGAACCATATTTCACAATATATACAAATACTAAATCATGTTGTACACCTGGAACTAATATAATGTTAATTGTCAACTATACTTCAATTTAAAAAAAGAATTGAAGTGTAGAAAATGGAATGAATGAATCGCTTTAGACCAAGTAGTGTCCACTTCAGGAGCACAGACCCCTGTACTGTTAGTCTGCCAGTCCCAGCGTGTAACTCCGGGTCTCAAGATCATATTTGCATTCTGTCCAGTAGGAAGAAGCACACTCCTGCCCTTTAAAAACAAACAAACAAACAAACAGAAGAGACACCTTATTGGGATGTAATACACGTATCTTATAATGTACCCATTCAAAGTTTTTAGTGTATTCACAGGATTGTGCAACCGTCACCTCAACCTAACTTTAGGACGTTTTCATTCCTTCTAAAGGAAACTCCTCACCTAGAAGCGGTCATTCTCCACCCCCAGTTCCAGGCAACCACCAACCACAAATCTGCGATCTACTTATAGATGTACCTATTCTGGACATTTCAGCTGAGGAGAATCACACAACGTGTGGTCTTCTGTGACTAGAGTCTTGTCTTTTTTATTTATTTATTAAAAGAATTGTTTTCTTATATTGCTTCTAGAGAGAGGGGAAGGGAAAAAGAAAAAGAAGGAAAGAAACATTGAACCGTTGCCTCTGGCATAAGCTCCAGCCCCCCAAGAGGGGACCAAACTCACAACCCAGGCATGTGCCCTGACAGGGAATTGAACCCTCCACGTCTCAGTTTGTGGGAAGATGCGTAACCACCTGACCCACCTCAGCCAGGGCTACTGTCTTTTCACTTCATGTTTTCAAGTTTTATCCATGTCCTTTTTATTGTTGAGTAATAGTCATCGTATGGAAATACCTACCACCCTTGCTTATCTGTCAACTGATGGGTATTTGGGTTTCCACATTTGGGGTTGTCATAAATAATGTTGCTATGAACATTTTTGTTTCACTTTTTGTGTGAACATGTTTTTGTTTCTCTAGAATATATACTTAGGAGTGGTATTGCTGGGTCATATGCTAATTCCATGTTTAATTTTTTGAAGAACTGCCAGTTTTCCAAAGTGCCCTACTTTACATGCGCACCAGCAGTAATGTATGATTCCTTCACATCCTCCCTAACACTTGTTGTCTGTCTTTTTAAGTATAGCCATCCATCTGGAGTGGTATCTTGAAGCTTTATATTTTCCTAATGACAGCATTTTCTTATGTCTATATTTGGGGAAATATCTATTGAAACCCTTTGCCCATTTCTAAATTCGGTTGTCTTATTATTGAGTTGGAAGAGCTCTTTATTTTGTCCAATAGAAGTCCTTCTGGTTTGCAAATATTCCACTTCGTGAGTTGTCTTTTGACTTGTTAGTTGGCTTGCAGCACAAAGTTTTCCCTCTCGATGTAGTCCCTTTGGTCTTGTGGTCTCCTTTGTGAACAACAGTCGTGTAACCCATGACTGTGAAGATTTGCTGCTGGTTTCTTCCAAGAGTTTTCTAGTTTTAGCCTTTAGATTTAGGGCAATGATATATTTTCCATGTAAGTTTCGTGTCTGATGGAACGCCTCTTTAAGGACCTTCCTGGGAAATTGAACACATCAATCTGCTTTTGATTCCTGCCCAGAACTTAGGGGGCCACGCCCATGCTCCGTAGGAGGCTGGAAAATGTATATTGCGGGCGTCGGATGCCAGTTTTAGCAGTTTGCAAGCCTATTCAGCCATAATCTTAATCCAAGCAAGTCAATTCTGTTGCTTTGTTTTTCAAATAAACTGATCTGCAGACTTTTCACCCAGAAGGATTCAGTGTAGCGCGGGAACTGCACTGGTTCCCACTCCCCAGGGACTTACCGGTCTCTCCCCCAGTGAATTTGAGCTCTAGGTATTTTTCCCTTTGGGGAAAAGAAACCTTCACAGCTTCCCGGTTCTCGCCTTTGCAGCGGCCCACCCCCAGACGCGCCCTCTGGGCCAGGGAGCCGCCCTCTCAGCGGGCAGATGACAAGGGGGCCCCGGGCGCGGGTGCCGCAGCTGCGTGCGATGGCGGCGTCCGCTGGAGGGACCCAGGCCCCTGCAGACGAGGTGCCCGAGCCCCAACGGGAAGCGCACAGCCTGGAGCCCGGCTCGGTGAGCGCAACACCCGCCCCTCCCCCTCAAAGGCGCCACAGGGGAGCTAGGAGTAGCCCGACGGAGAGGGGAGTGTGCGGGCAGGGACAGAGGGGTCCCAGGCACCTTGAGGGAGCCTGATCGCAGCCCTGTGTCCGGCCGGGGGCAACCTTGCCGGGTCCTCCGCCTGAACTGCCCCTAGTGGGGCTTGACACCTGAGAGTCCAGAGGCTGAGGATACTCGCGAGCCCCAAAGAGAACAAGGGCATGAGAAACTGAGTCCCGGGCAAGTGAGCAACTGGCTGGATTCCTCAACTAGTCAGGCAGGACCAGGGCCTGGCTCCGGTCTCCCGATTCCCGTTCCAGGGCCCTCCGCCGCCAGCCTCCAGATCTCCCCGGTAGACCCTGCAGTTGTGCCTGGCGAAGGCAGCCTTCCTTCCCCAGCCCCCGGCCGGCGTGCGGGCTCAGCCGCCTTCTCAAACCCTGGTCTTGTCCAGGCGCCAGGCTGTCCTTTGGGAGACTGTCTTCCAGAGATGTCCTTCCTGGCCACCAGGCCCCAGAGTGGTGTTAGAGGGCAGGTGGGATCCTAGGGGTGATGGTGCTGGGACTCACGCCACAAGGGTGGGCCTGTTGGAGGTCGTGTTGCTGAATGTAAAATCCACGCCTGCTCCAAGCGCACGCCCGCATTGTCTGTGGCTTCACTTGGCCACCCCCTCGATTTCCGATGCCTCCGCTGCTCAGGCACCTCAGAGCAAAGGACTGTGGCCCCCAAGAAAGAAATTTCAATACAGAGGCTCCCTGAGGACCCTCGTTTTCCAGTGCAATTTAGAAATTCAGGGTGAGATGAATGAATTGCAAGAGGGAAAACTAACATTGCCAATGAAGCGCCACCAGCATTTAATTCTCTTAACAACCCTATGAGGCTGTAGTATCTCCATTTAACATGTGAGGAAACTGAGGCAGCCACATCAAGTAGCTTGTCCGGGGTCACACAGTTGAAAATGGCAAACGCGGAATTTGAATCCAAGTGTGTCTAATGCTAAAACTTGTGCTCAGCTAAGTGTGAATGGCTTATGATTCAAGTACATAAAACCATCAAGATTCCAAGATCATATCATAGACCTAGGTTTAGCTGGATTTTTTTCCCCCTCTATCTTTCAAGTGCCTTCTGTGTGCCAGAAACTTGCTAGGCATATTTAGGGGGAAACAAGAATCCAATTATAGGTTGGTGCAGGAGGGCTATCCTGGTGGATTCTGCCTTTTTTTAAAAGTTTTCTAGAAGTTAAAATAATGTTCACCCCATGTCTGAAAAGGAGACCACATCCTGCTTCGTGTATGGTTTTCTTCTGTGGGTAGGAAGAGTGTGCAAAGGATATGATAAACTCTTATCTGGAAAGCCCTTCCCTTCAAAAGAGACCATCTGGGTGTCCTGCAAGATACCAAAAGGGGTGAAGCCACAGTCCTCCCCACTCCCCGACCCATCCCCAAGCAAAGATGAGAATGAAGAACTCCCAGCATCTTTCAGAGAAAGGGCACTTTACATGGTGTCTTCATGGCACTTATTCTTTCAACAACTATGTACCGAACATTAGTATATATCAAGCATTGTTCCTAGGCACTGGGGACACGTGGTGGTGAGTAGGTCGTGCTCTCAGAGAATACATATTTTGATGAAGAGAGGCAGGAAATAAATAAGAGCATATCAGTTAGTAAGCACAATTGAAAAAGAGACTACGGTGGCCAGGGAAGGCCACTCTGAGGAGAAAACATTTAGGCTTCAACTTGAAGGACAAGGAGTCAGCTCTGCAAGGATTGGAGGAAGAGCCTCTCAGACAGAAGGATTGGGAAGTGCAAAGGCCCTGAGGTAGCAATAGACTTGGTCATTTTGAGGAATAGGAATGAGGATCGCGTGGTTGAGAAGAACTATCTGAGAGGTGGGAAACAGGATGGGGATGGGCTGGGTGGGCTGTTGTAGGCTGTATGGTGAGGACTTGGAGGCTTTTTTGTTTGTTTTTGATTTTTAGAGAGAGGAAGAAAGAGGGAGAAGGGGAAAGAGAAACACTGACTTGCTGTTCCACTTATTTATGCAGTCGTTGCTTGATTTGCATATGTGCCCTGCCCGGGTATTGAACCTGGAGCCTTGGTGTACTGGGACAACACTAACCAACTAAGCTACCCAGCCAGGGCAGGACTTGGAGCTTTACTCAGAGTTTCCTGGCAAGCTGTGGGAGGGTTTCAGGCAGAGAGGAGACACAATCTAGTTGTTCAGAAAAGATCTCTTTGGCTGCTGGGTGGACAATGGAGAGTAGGGGCTGAGGGCAGAAGCAGGGGAGCCACTTAGGAGGTTCCCATGCACAGATTAGACCGGGGGACTGGGAAAGGGGAAGCAAGGGTGACGGCCAGGTCTGCGGCCTGAGCTGCTGAGTGGACACTGGGGTCACTTAATGCAAGGGGGACAACAGAGTTAGGAGTTGGTTGAAACAATGGGATGGAAATCAAGCTGTGACCATGCTGAGCTGAAATGCCTTAGTCAACCACACAGGGTAGTGGGTAGGCAGTCAAATATATGAACCTGGAATCCACTGGGTAGCTTAGGGCTTGTGAGATATGTATACATGCACATACGTTTGGGATCATAAACATTGCTTCATTTCAGTGGCGGGCTGCTAAACAGTCTCTCAGGGGTTGGGGGTGGGGAGAGGGCAGCCTCTGATTTGTAACGTTTGCTGATTTCAGTGGTGTCAAGTCTCACCGTGGCTGGTTTCAGGCTGCTAGTCATTCAGCAACTGGCCAGGAAAGTCCTGAACGTTGAACAACCTGCTCCCGGAGCCACTGCCCCATTTGCTCATGGAAAGGGCCCTGTGAAGGCCTCCCCGGTGGGGCTCGGGTGCTTGGGTGTCAGCCCAAAAGCAGAAGGTCCCTGGCTACGTTCCTCCCAGGGCACTTACCAGAGGCGACCTATTGATGTTCCTTCCCCTCTAAGAACAAATTTTTAAAAAATCTTAAAAATGAAAACCCAACCCTGTGAGGTTGGCAGGACTTTTCCAGTCGAAGGCTTAGAGGGAGAACGTGGTTATTCAAGGTCACACAGGGACATGGTGGCGAAGTCGGGGGTCCCCTGACCCCTAGCTCGCTCAGGCTTGCTGACTCAGGAAACACTGAAGCAGGAAGCACTGAGGGGAAATATAGGGAAGAACTTCCCCGTGGAAAAGCTTAGAGGTCATGTTTTAGGATTTTTTTTTCTGTCTCACTTCCCTTTAAGATGATTTGGGGCAAATTAGGACTGAGAGTTTGCAGGGAAAGCCTCAAGACCTAGGGACTTCAGGATGCTGACGGAAGCCGGGGGGGTGTGGGGAGCTGCTGTGTGTCTGTGAGGGTGGGCTCAGCTCCTATGTCTCCCCCAGGACAGCAGAGCTGGTCGCCTCTCATTCTGTACGAAGTTGTGCTATGGCATCGGCGGGGTCCCCAACCAGGTGGCCTCCAGCGCCACTGCCTTTTACCTGCAGCTCTTCCTGCTAGATGTGGCACAGGTAAGTGTGAGCATCAGCCCAGGACCCCCTATTGACATCTTCCTTGGCCTCTGGTCCTTCCACCCCCACCATCCTTCTCAGGACTTTTGACCTAAGCTGTTGAGGGCAACCGCCTCAAGGCTGTTTATTGCAGCCTGTTTGTAGTGGAAAATGGGAAGCAATGTGAATACCCAACAATGTAGAAGCAGCTGGGTATTGACTTGTACTAGCTCCATATAATGGACAATTATGTAGCCATTGAAAGAATGTGTTAGGCCTACACTGGTTGATTTGGAGGGATTTCCATGATGCTCTGTCAAGTGGGAAAAGTTAGTTTTAGAGGAGAGTATGTAAAATGATCCCATTTTAGTAAAACAAAGGCATGCCCCACACATGTATGTACTTGGGTATAGTATTTGTGTATGAGTCAGTACATGATTAAAAATGAGCATGGAGAAAATGTACAGAAAATCACACCAGGCTGGTCATGTTGGCTCTATGAAGGAATGGTGGAGGCTAGAGAGTAAGCTAAAAAGAAAATATTAGTAAGGTATTAATGATTTTTTAAATGACACCGATATGGTTGTTTTTATATAAGATTATAAATTGCAAATGTACATACATGCATGAAAGGATGATCACCAAAATGCTTCTGAAAGTTGTCTCATGATGGCGGGATTTCAGACGAGCTTTGCTCAATATTTTTCTGTACTGTTGGAATGTTTTTATAGTGAGTCTTATCATTTCTGTAATCAGAAAATCAATAAAACATTTTCATCATGAGACAAAACGTCTGTGACTGTCAACCTGGCTGCAGCCGTCTTGCACTGGGCCACCTCAGATGAGGGTCCCTTGTGTCTTCTCCAGAAGGGACTGGGCATGAGTAGCAGTGGCACTGTGCCAGGGTGTGGCCGTCAGCTCCCTCCCCCACCCCTTTCTTCACTAGTGCAGATGTGCCCTGAGAGCCTTTGAGATCAGAGTCCTTGGGAGGAGGACCGAGGGGGACCTTCACCCCCGGCCTCTGGCCCCCGCCAGGTGGCCAGCTCACCCTCCTGGGACAACCTCTCCAACTCTGCCAGCCCTTGGCTCTCTCCTCCCCTGTCCGTTGCAGATCCCCGCTGCCCAGGTGTCACTTGTCCTGTTTGGAGGGAAGGTGTCGGGGGCAGCTGCTGACCCAGTGGCTGGGTTCCTCATCAACAGAAGCAGGAGGACAGGGTCTGGCCGACTCATGCCCTGGTGAGCAGCCCCATAGTCCTTAAGGTCTGGCGCCACTCATAGCCTGAGGTCACTGTGTTTGTCACAGCCCTGCTTCTTAGTGTTTGTCACAGCCCTATGGATGGTTAGAGGACAAAAAGAGACACAGGCGATGGGACCAGCTGTAGGTGACAGTACCAGACTGGGTCCAACTGAGTCAGGCAGGAGTTCAGAGACATCCTCAGAGACTTTCCCTCACCAGATGGCTCTGGGCTGGACCAAGCCTCCAAGGCTCCCAGGCCTGGCCCGGAGGTCTCTGCGTGGCCAGAGTGGGCCGGAGACCATGGATGGTCTCACAGGGCAAGTACAACTCTTGTGCCCCAGGATCCTTGTTACAAGGAATGGTACCACCAAGCACCAAGCTCCTGCCCTAGCCAGAGTCCCAGCTGCGACCCCTGGCTACTTCCATGCTCCATTAGCCCTCCACGTCCACAGCTCCCACCAAGTCTTGCTCACGCCCAGAAGGGTGAGCTTGCTCCAGGCCCGCCCATCTGTGGCCCCGGTCCTGGTGCTGTGGCCATTCTACCTCCACTGTGTCCCCGCAGGGTGCTGGGCTGCACACCCTTCATCGCCTTGGCCTACTTCTTCCTCTGGTTCCTGCCCCCCTTCACCAGCCTTCGAGGACTTTGGTACATGACCTTCTACTGCCTATTCCAGGCCCTGGCCACGGTAAGCAGGTGGCCCCCCTTCCTGGGCCTGGACCCCTGGAATCCAATCGCTGGGCAGTGGCCACTCTGAAGTGTCCGGGCCGGGGGCAAGTGTTCAGGAGGGTCCCACCACTTGCACCGGCTCACCAGTGCCTGGCCATTACCTTTAGCTCTGCCCGCCCACAGGGCTCCCAGCTGGGTGCCCCCTCCTGCCCCTCAGCTCTTGACTCCTGGCTTGAGGGGACCTGTGGGGACTGCCAGCCTGGCCCACGGCTGGGCTGGGATAGGTCTTCCACTCTGGCTGTCTGGGCTGAGGGGGGCCCTCTGAACTCCGCCCCCCAGTTCTTCCAGGTGCCCTACACGGCACTCACCATGCTCCTGACCCCCAGCCCCCGGGAGCGGGACTCAGCCACCGCCTATCGTGAGTGCCTGTGCCGGGAGGGAGCGGGGCTGCAGCTGCCAGGGGCCCGGCGCGAGCTGGGTCACCTTAGCGCCCACCATGTCCCAGGGATGACCATGGAGATGGCGGGGACGCTGATGGGAGCCACAGTCCACGGACTCGTCGTGTCCGGCGCCCACAGTCCCCACAGGTGCGAGGACGACATCGAGCTCCTGGGGCCGGTCACCGTCTCCCCCAGCGCAGTGAGTGCCCACGCGGACGCATCCCCCTTCCCACTAGACCCGCTTCAGTGCCACCTGGGTGCCTTCTAAGCACCTCGGGTAGGCCATCTGGAGGGGCGAAGGCAGACCCCAGAGAAGAGGCGGGGAATCCAGCGGTAGGAGGGTTTGATGTCCCTGCAGAGCTCCGGGTAAAGCCCCCGCTGTGACCTCTCCCATCCGGCCCTAATCACCCCCCACCCCCACCCCACGTGTGAAAGGAGAAGGGAAACCGGCAGCAACGGGTCCCCTCAAAGCAGGCCCCTCTTCACCCGTGGGGGCATGCATCTATTTCAGCCATCAAGTTCATCTCTTCCCCTTAGGCAAATGGCACCGCCGTCCCCCAGAATCCTAGGCATCACCCTGTACTCCTCCCTTTCTCCTGACCCTCCACTCCATCCTATTACCAAGTCCTGCCCATGTTTCGAGACAAACCCCTTTGCATGCACTGCCCGTGCTGGCCTCTGCCTCCACAAGCTTCCTCCCTTCCCCGTCTGCCTCTGCGTGGGGCTGGAGCCCAGGGTGGCAGCGGCCTTGAGTGGGGGGCGGCGGAGGCCAGGACCGGCCTGGTGCCAAGAAGCAGGGGGCGAGAGGCTGAGAACCCACCCCCAGAAGTTCAACAGTGTTCAGGTGCCTCTTGGTAGTTTCCTCGATTTCACTTACAAAACACAAATTCACAGATAAAATCACCTAGAATTTCAAGACAGTGGCAGCAGAGTGTTAACCCCCAAGGGCAGGGCCCTGAACGCGGGGCCCTGTGCTGTTGTGCAGGACCCATCCCTGCCCCCCTCCCTCTCTGCTCCCTGCCCAGAGGCAGCCTCCACCTGGAATTGGGCGACTTGCTCCCATGCATGTCTGTATATGACAGGTAGCGTGCTCGCACTCACTCGCTCGCTCGCTCTCCCTTCTTACATTTATCTGCGTCACTGTGGATCACACGGTAACTTCCTGCTCCTGGACCTGTCTTTCTCCTACACTCCAAGCCCCTCGTGTGGATGCACAGGTGTCACTTATTCATCACTGTAACCTCCGGGTCCAGCATATAGAAATCAGCAACAACGAATATTTGTTTTAATCAATGCGAGAGGGGGGCAGGGGGAGAGAGAGAGAACTCGGGCCCTCGGAGCCTTGGAGCCCGGGTGGCACGGATGCAGGCAGCGGCACAGGGGGACCATCATGGGGACACAGGAGGAGTCCCCAGTATTGTTGGACTTGGGCTGAGGGTCTCTCTGCTCCCACTGGGAGGCACTCCTGCCCTGCCCCTGCATGTCCTCACCTCTACGGGTTGGGGACATCACCCCCATCCCAGTTCTGTCCTGTTCCACAGACTTGTCTCTACTCCGTTGCAGCCGCCGTGGTTGCTGTGACTTATCCTGTTTGCAGTGGTTTCCTCCACCTGGGGGTGAAGGAGAGACCAGGTACAGAGGTGGAGGCAGGATGTGGGAAGCAGAAAGCAGCTGGGGGCAGGGCTCTCCCTGGACACAGGTTTTGGTTTGGAACTCTGCCCAGTTGAGACACCGCCTTCCTGTGTTGCAGACCCCTCTGCCCCAGCCTCCAGCCAGGGCATGGGCTTCCTGGCTGGGCTGGGCCTCACTGTCCGGCACCCGCCCTACCTGAAGCTGGTGATCTCCTTCCTGTTCATCTCAGCAGCCATTCAGGTACTCTGGCCAGGCCAGTCCCCACTGGCTCGCCTCCAGCCATGCTGAACTTGCATGAGTTCAGGTTCAGCCTCTTGTCCTCACTGGGGGATGAGGCTTGAGTTTTAACAGGGAGTGACCAGGGGCTGGCACATGGCTCAGAGAGCCTGATGCTGGGAGGAGAGAGATCTTGATAGAGCTGGTGGGATTGAGGAGGGCCAGGGAAGAAGAGTCTGGGGTGGCAAAGTTCGCTCAGCTTTCGTTGTGCAAGGGCCAGGGTAGACTAGCAATGGTCAGGGATAAGCATCCCTTGTGGGGGCAGGGACTGCAGGGTGGCGGCAGCAACCAGAGTTCAAGGTCCCAAAAGGGAGGCCAGAATGGAGACCCAGGACTTGCTCTTGACTTCTGAGGTCCTGCCAAGTCCCTGTACACAGCCACTTCCTGTCAACCTCCTCAGGTGGAGCAGAGCTACCTGGTCCTGTTCTGTACACATGCCTCCCGGCTACATGACCACGTCCAGAGCCTGGTGCTAACTATCCTGGTGAGAGGACCCGGGGTGACAGGGCCAAGGTTACTTGGGAGCCTGAGCTGGGGACATGTATGGTCCTTGACATGACATGTGTGGCCAGAGTTCTGGGGGTCAACATGCTGGACTCAGCTGCGGTCTTAGTCCCCCGCCTCCCAGCAGTGGGTGGAATTGGGGCCAGGTTCATAAAGTTCATAGCCTCTGGTTCTAAGCAGGGGTCAAGGTCGAGGTTGGGCATCCCACCTAAAGGCCAGGGCTTGGAGAACCTGGGCAGGGGCGCTGGCAGCTCGGCCGGGCTGTGACGCTTCTGTCGGCTCACAGGTCTCGGCTGTCCTGAGCACCCCACTGTGGGAGTGGGTTCTACAGCGATTTGGGAAGAGGATGTCAGCCTTCGGGATCTGTGTGAGTGGGGCAGGAAGCAAGGCTTGGGCTGGGCTGGCGGAGGTCGGCCTTGGGGCCTGAGCCTCCCGGGGGCCGGCCCAGCAGATCTGTAGTCACTTGCGTCTTCAGTGCCCGGCACAGGACCAGGCACAGAGTCATTGGTAACAACCGGTGAGCAAGTGCAGGAAAGAGCAAGCGGGGACAGGTAGAGGGAGCAGCGAGTGTGTCTGTCTCCCCAGGTGATGGTGCCTTTTGCAATCCTGTTGGCTGTTGTGCCCACAGCACCCGTGGCGTATGTTGTGGCCTTGGTATCTGGCATGAGCATCGCCGTGTCGCTGCTGCTACCCTGGTAGGCTGGGCGAGGGGAAGGGAATGTGGGAGCTTCAGGTCCTTCCTCATGGGTCTGCCCCACTGTGTGTCAACCTGCTGGCCCAGGCCCCTGGCGCCCAGCCTGTGCTCGGGAGCTGCGCCCCCATTCGCAGGGGATGGAGGCCCTCAGCTCTGTCCCGGAGCCCTCCTTAAGGGCACCAGACAGCAGGAAGGGCGGGGGCGGGGCGGTGGAATACAGGCACACATATTGCGTGGCTCTCTGTGGGCCGGTTCTGGTCTTGGGCAGCGGAGACTCAGGGATGACTCTGACTTGGTCTCTGTACCCAGAGAGTTTGCTGGTTGGTGGCTGCCAAGGGGATAAAAGGGATAACACTGCAGCCCCCTCCCCCGCAGGTCCATGCTTCCAGACGTGGTGGACGACTTCCAGCTGCAGCACCAGCACGGCCCAGGCATGGAGACCATCTTCTACTCCTCCTATGTCTTCTTCACTAAGCTTTCGGGCGCAGGGGCCCTGGGCATCTCCACGCTCAGTCTGGAGTGAGTCCCAGAGTCGGGCTGCGCCCGAGGCACAAGGACTAGTGGGGCAGGAGGAGGGCAGGGTCCCCCACCCCAGCCAGCCAGGGGAGCATGCTCTAGTCTTTGGAGAATGTGGGGGAATCACCTGCCCCAGGTTCCACTGGGAATGTGACTGAAAGGGGCCTTTCTTGAGGCGTTACCCCATCTGAAGCCTCAGCCCCCCCCCCCCATTCTCAGTTCTCTCTGAACTCCTCCCTGACCAGCCCATTCCCTCAACACTCCCGTCTACGATGGGTAGGCTGATCTGGCCAAGAAATGGATCCCAGTTTCAGGGTGGTGTGGAGGTGGGGAACTGGGACCGCTCCCCCAGGGAGCCAGGCTTGGGAAGGTCTGAGCTAGATGCCTGGGACTGTTCCCCAGGTTTGCGGGGTACGTGGCGGGAGCCTGCAAGCAGACGGAGCAGGTGGTGGTGACCCTCAAGGTCCTCATCGGTGCTGTGCCCACCTGCATGATCCTCACCGGCCTTTGCATCCTCATGGTCAGCCCCACACCAAAGGTGCCAAGCCAGGACGCCTCCCGCCAGCTGAGCCTTCGGAGGTGGGCACCCCCCACACACGGGTACACACAGCAGGCCCACCCACACCCAGGGAGGCACACGGGCGTGTGTCTCAGTCCGAGGGTCTCCAGGCAGGACTCACACCCTGAACGGTCCCGCCTTTGGAGACTCTTGCCTTAGCTTCAGTGACGCCATCTTCTGGATTTTCTGCTGCTACCCTGGTCACCCCGCCCAGTCTCTCCTTCCTTTGATAACCTGCTGGATGGTGGCAGGGGAGGGCGTCCTTGTCCACCGGTTCCTTTCGCTCTCCATAATCCCAGGCACCTCATCTGCTTGCTTGCCCTGGAGAACCTCTTGAGCTTGGTGACTCCCATAGCTGTCCCCCTCTCCACCCTACACCCCCATACTCCCTTCCAGTTCCAGACCTACACGTCTGGCTCTCATTTGGACATCGCCTCCTGATGTCCCACAACCACGGCTATCGGTCTTAGTGAGCCCCAAATGGAATTCACCTTTTTGTCCCAATCGGCTCCACTACCCTCGAGCCTGGGAGCCGGAACTGGGGACCCATCATCTTCCACTCCTCCCCCTCCAGGCCGCGCTGACAGCTCGCTGAGCCTGTCCCTCCTGCTCCCAGAGCGTGGAGTCTGCTGCCGGGGCCATCTGCTCACTGTCTGGCTTCCCCAGTAGACTGTGAGGGCCTGGAAGGCTAGAGCTGCGTTGACTCATTCTTACGTCCTAGGAGCCCAGCACAGAGTGAGGCCGCAGCAGGCATGCAGCGACAACACGGTCCCGCAGGCTTTCACGAGCACATGTCCATGTTTTTGCAGATGCTCATGCATTTAACAAATATGAGCACATATGCACGCAGAGGACTGCACAGGGGAAGCAAAAGTACATCATCACCAGGCCCTCACTGCTCGATGTGGCCGGTCGCAGGCTCCAGCTGAACAGCGCTGGCGCCGTGCGTTACACTCAGGGAGCGACACACGGGTGGGGAACTGCTTGACGGGACTTGGGGAAACAGGCTTGTGGCTCTGTTCACAGGGTGGTGGAAGGGAGGGCTTGCTAGGGAGACAGGGAACAGCCACTGACACTCCCACCAGGGCCTGTGGCAGGGCAACGGCCCCGCCCCTCCCTCACCCTCTGGCTTCCTTCCCTCCCTACAGGAGGACCAGTTACAGCCTGGCATGAAGCCTGAGACTTCGAGAGCTGGAACAGCAGGAGGCAGCATCCTCTGGGCTCGAAGTCCCCCCTTCTCTCGGTCATTTATAACCGCTCCCACGCAGCTTACACATGACCTTTTCCCTGGGACGTGGAGTCTCCAATGACCTCTCCAGAAGGGACTGGCCTGGGTTCCACCTGTCATTTCTTGCCCGTTGATCACAGAGCACTTCAGATAAACCTGTGCCCCTGACCACCCAGCCGCGGGCGACATTTGACCTGGAAAGCATCCCAATAGCAGCTTGTCCTGAAGAAAACAAGCCCTCACCGGCCTGGCCTGCAGACTCCCCCTGGGAACACCTGGCCCAACCTGCTGTGACAGGACACAGGGACAGCCCTCTTGTTCCCGCCATCTCCAGTGGACACGTGACAGAGAGAGTGACAGACACCCCAGGAATGGGCAGTGTGGGAGCAGATGGATATGCTGGGGATGTTCAGTTAGGAGACACAGATGCAGTGAGGCCAACAGACCCCAGGGAGCACAAATGGGGATGGTGGGGGGGGGGGAGAAGACCGAGCACTTTTCCCTTTGTTCAGACAGGTTGATGACACTAGAGGTGGACACAGATGGATATCGAGCCACCAAAGATCAATTATTTTTAGGAACTTATTTTTGTGGAAATATTTTTCTGAACTTTTATGTTATAAAAAGTATAGGGACCACAGCCTTCTAGAGGCTGTATCTGGGGAAGAAAGATCCACCAAGGTTTAATTTTTTTCAGAAAAAAAGCCCAAATTAGCCTTGGCTGGTGTGGCTCAGTAGATTGAGCACCAGCCTGCGGACCAAAAGGTTGTTGGTCTGATTCCTGGTCGGGGCACATGCCTGGGTTGCAGGCCAGATCCCCACTTGGGGGCGTGCAGGAGGCAGCCAATCAATGTTTATCTTGTACATTGATGTTTTTCTCCCTTTCCTCTCTTCCACTGCTCTATAATATAAATATTTTTTAAAAAACAAATTAAAGGGCTTATCTTCTACTGAGTCTATAAAATGTGATGGCGCCAGCCCGTGATCATCCTCCCTGCTGGGAAACTCTCACCCCAAAGAGGGAAGGGAGGGTGCCTTATGTCACTGAACCTCGCTGTGTCCCCAACTCTGCATTTCCTCAGACTGGAGACACCATGTGAGACAGGGTTCCTTCTTTCCTTTGGAAGAGACAGACAGTTGAGACTCTAGAGTAGCAGGCTGCAGTGGCTCCTGTGGGCTGGGCTTACAGAGTGGCTGGGACTGTGCCCAGCAACTCCTCCTCCAGAAGTCGAGACACCTAAAGGGGAGACCAAGAGGTGCAGACTGGCCCTCCTGAGTGTCTTCCTAGCCCCAGCTCTGTCCCCTCCATGGGGTCAGCTCTCCTGAGCCCGCCCTCCAGAGCCAGGCTCCTTTCCACTTCCTCTTTGGACCCCTGGCTGCCTCTTAGGTGCAAGACTCGCCCCTAAGGCTGCCAGAGCTCAGACTCTCAGACTCTCAGACTCACGCGTGTACGGCCGCACGCTCCCCGCGCACCGTGGCACGAGAGGGAGCTGGCCTCCCAGTGAGAGTGCAGACTGTGGCCTGGCTTCCTGATGCCGGCCCTCTCGGGCCCTTGTGGCACTGACATGGGTATCTGATCCTCGAGGTCACAGGGCACCAGAGAAAGAGCTGGGCTCGGCGTCTCTCCATTGTCCCTCTGGTTCAGGAAGGGGCTGGCGGGGAGCGCTGCCCACCCCTGCTGTGCACGGGCGCACACACAGAGGACAGTGTCATATAGCACTGGAAAACCACACTGACCATGTGGGGACAATGCCTGGTGAGACACAAGGCAGGGCCACGTTTCTACCATGTCAGGTTGTGTGTGCTTCGGAAACCTGGGCAATGCAAGTTTGTGCCAAACTTTATGTCACCTTTATTTCCCAGGGGCGCAGCCTCACGGAACAGAGCTACACAGTACAGGCAGCAGCAGGGGAAACCTCTGGAGCCCCGGGGTTCAACCTCAGAGGTGAGGACCGCCATGGGCTGGGCAAAAGGTGTCCCACTGAGACAGGATAGTAAGAAACGAGGAGAATTCCTTGATAAGTGGAATAGAAAATCTGAGACAGAGAGCTGAACAAACTGGCCAAGCAGTTTACAGCCAGGTGCAGATGGTCCCCAGGGTGGCAGGAAGTGCCTGGCAGGAGCAAAACTGGGAAAACAGGGACCTCAGCCCCAGGGCAACCCCTCCGCCCTGGAGATAACATCTAGGCTTCAGATGTGCTTCAGCTCCAGGCCCAGAAAAGCAGCAAAACCAGGTGGGCGATGCCAGAACCAACGGCACTGACTAAAGACCCCCTGGCCTGTCACTGACCCATCAGTGGAGACCACGAGAAAGGGCACACCTGGGAACTGATGACTGTGCTACTGCAGCCCTCCCCTGAGAGCTCCCCTAACATTCCACCTGCAAGAGAGAAAAACACAAGACCAAGGACACAGCACCCAAGCTCCCCCTATCGGGGGCAGCCATTCCCTTCTCCTTCCCCACTTCTTTCTTCCCAGGCACGTGTCTCCTAAACTCTTAAGGCAATCCAGCAGCTTACCCCCGGCCTGGACGTGGGCTCGTGCTGTGAAATCTTTCCTGCACCGTCAAGAACCCACACTCTACAGCTGGTCCCAGGCTGACCCGCTCAGGGCCGGGCCCCGGTCTGATAACACTACCATTTCTCCCCACTGCCACTCTATGAAGTGGCTACCATCATGCTCATTTTCAGATGAGGAAACAGGCTTAGAGAGTTTAAGCAACTTGCATGAGGTCAGTTTGTGGTAGAAACGGTCTGGAACCTCAGTCAGCCGGACTCCAAAGCCTGTGGAGAGGCCGGCGCCTCCCACCGCCGGCATCCCTGCCCCTGGCTCTCCGCTCCGGCTCCACTGCAGTCCCCATTACTCGGCCCTCGGACCTGCAGTTCCTTTGCCCACGTCCACGTCCCTCTTCTGACACCCGCCCTTAGAGCCTGTCCTCCTGTTTCAAAGGAAGGGATCTCTCCTTGTCACCAAGGCCAAACCAGAGGCCTGTTGCCGGCCAAGGGCAGCATCATCCTGGCCCCTTTATTCTGCTACCTTGTCCCTCTCCACCTACATGAAAGCAAAGCTGCCTTTCACTTGCTCCAGACACTCAGCCACCAGCATCCCTACCTCTGACTTAGGTCCCATCCATGGAGTCCCCCTGCCAGGCCTCACGGCCTCACAAGATCAGGTGGCTGCTAAACCATCACCTCCCCAGAGAAGCCTTCCCTGCTTTCCTGCTGGTTTGTAGCCAAGCTCTTCCTTCTCCCCCAGCATTTGCTAAGCTCTACCCACTTTTATTTGTAGTTAGTAGGACTCCGTCCATGTACAAGTATGTTTAGCAGTGCCTTGTTTACTGCTTGATATACCCATTAAAATCATGAGGGCAGGGATTTTAGCTTCTATTGCTATGTCTTCGGTGTACATGTTTAATATGAATTAATGGTTGCTGAATGAACAAGTGTTCGTATTGCTCTCATCCTAAAACAAAACAGCCTGTCCTGTTCCCTTAGCTTTCTCTCTCCAAATAAGCTGCGTTACTCGGCCACAACTTGCCAGCCACCACAGCGCGTCTCCTCGTCCGCACCTGCCATTCCCTCCTTACCTGGCATACCCGTCTCTGCCTCCCCGCTGAGAGGCGTGGCAGGGGAACTCCAGCATCGGTGAAAGGGAGATAGGAGTTTGTATGTCGCTTTAATTTTTTATACGTGTGACTGGTCAACGTAGTCAATAAACCTGAGCCTCCGTTTCTTTTCTGAACAAATGTCTACACTGTTGCCTACACCTCAGGGTGGCTGTCGGGTGGAGACTGATACTCATTCCCGAGGGCCGCTCCTTTTCAAACCTCCTCCGTTGGCCTGCAGGGCCCGCCTCCTGCTCTCCTCCCCCACCTGACCATTCACTTTCTTCTGTCTTTTCCTTTGTTGCTCCGCAGTGGCCACAGGCACCCTATGATCTCGTTCACCGTCACCTCCTATACATCCCTCAGTTTCTAGCCCAGAGCCATCTGCTGACCTTCAGATCCACGGACTTGAGACCAGGTGCCACCTGAGTGTTGTCCAGGCAGCATCCCATGGCCATAGTGGAGCTCGTCGCCGCCTCCCCACACCTGTCCGGCCTCCTGCATTTTTGGTAAATTATGTCAGCACCGAACCAGTCACTAAAACCAAAAACGTGGTCTTAGTTTTCTCTCTCTACTCATTCCACCTCCCAACCTTATATACATTGAGTGTGGATTAAGCAACAGAAAGGGCTGCAGCTTGTAAGTTACTATCAAATGGTAGAAGTTATGTGAAACCAGACAGAAAGTTTACAGCAGATAGAACTGCGTGTGGTTCAAAACACACCCTGTGAACCAACAAAGCTGCATGCTAGACGGTGGAGATGTGCACATATGTTTGTGTATTACTATGGCCTCAGTTCAGCTGGGAACTGTTTTCTGTGTGTGCCTACTCTTACTGAAGGACAAAACTGGTGCATAAACAACAGGAAATTCATGTTACACTCTAATTGTTCCCTGATCTAGTGACTGTCTTGGAACAAATTTGTTTTTTCAAAACAAGCATAACAGAACTGAGTGTAGATGTGTGTGGATGTAAACATATAGAAATCCTTCATGGCCACACAAATATTAAAGGAATGAAATATTTTTTAAAATTCCTAAAAAGGAAACACCAGATCCAAGTGATTTTTACCAAGTTGCATCAAACTTTCAATCAAGGATCATCTTATATTATGCAAACTCTTCCAGGGAATAGAAAAAGACAAAGGGAGGGAGGGAGGGAGGGAGGGAGGGAGGGAGGGAGGGAGGGAGGAGGGAGGGGAAGAGAGGAAGAGAGGAAGGAGAGGAAGGAAGGAAGAAAGAAAGAAAGAAAGAAAGAAAGAAAGAAAGAAAGAAAGAAAGAAAGAAAGAAAGAAAGAAAAGAAGAAAAGAAAGAAAAGAAAGAAGAAAAGAAAGAAGAAAGAAAGGAAGGAAGAAAAGAAAGAAAAAGGCACACTTTGCAATTCATTACATCAGGCCAGAATAAGCTTGATACCAAAACCAGACAAGTACAATAAAAAAGAAAGGGAATTCACAGGTTGATCTCGCTCATGAACATAAAAGCAAGAATCCTAAACAAAATATTAGTGAACTGAGTCTAACAACATCTAAAAAATAAACACCATGAACACATTGGGTTTATTCCAAGAATGCAAGGTTTAACATTAGAAAAATCTATTGAGACTTATAATGTTGACAGAATAAAGGAGGAAAAAAGTATAATCTGATACAGAAAGAATAATTTGATAAAAATCTAATATCCATTCAATAATAAAGGTGCTTACAGAATAGGAAAATTTTAAACCTGAAGAAGGATGTCTACTAAAAATCTAATAGCAAGCATCATTCTTAATGGTGAATTACTCCTTTAAAGTCAAGAATAAGGGAAAGATACCCCTATCACTGCTTCTATTCAATACTTTATCAAGGGATCTAGCTGGTACAGTGAGATAACAGTGCCAAGAAAAAAAACAAAAAACAAAGCTGTCGTTATTTGTAAGTGATGACTGCCTATATAGATGTTCTGAAAGAATCTACAGATGCAGCATTAGAATTAATAAGAGTATAGCAAGGTAGTAGATATAAAATGAACAAAAATGAACTGTATTTTAATATGCCAGTAAGTTATAAAACATAATTTTTATAACAGTAGCAAAAAAAAAGTAAACAAAATTTTTTAAAAACCGAAAATACAGGAAAAAAAAACCCCAGGAGCAACAAAAAATACAAAGCACCGAGAAATAAATAAACAAGATGTGGAAAGACTCCTGCTTTTGGACATGATGAAGTAACCGAGACCAGATCTAGTCTCCTGACTGAAACAGTAAGAAAAACTGGACAAAATACATGAAAAAACAGTTGTCAAAACGTCGGCACCAGGCAACGAAAGAGCAATTGGAGAGACGGACACCAACGCGGTGAGTCTTACGACTGTACCAGCTTTCGCTTTGAGAGTTTCCAGGTGACCCGGGAGAGTACTACTTGGAGCGCAGAGGGCTCCCTGAATTAATTTTGGAGGCCAAAATGGCTGGAGTTCACAGGACTGGATAGTGGAGAGGAGTGAGCTACACAGAGAGAAAACTTGGGAGCTCTACAGAAGGTCCCCCTCGAGTGCCCAACAGATGGTCGATCAAATAAATGGGGGTGCACTCTTCTTTGAGCACGCCCGCACGCCCTTCCTCAGGCGTGTACTTGGCTGCTTCTGTCCTGAGCTCTAAGGGTCCTGAGACTTGCACCCAGGGGAACAACGGGCAGCGGCCGCGTGGGAGTCGCTGTGACTGACTTCTCAGTGGGTCCCTGCAGCCCAGCATGGCCCCTTCTTCCCCATAAAGTTCCTAGAGAGCCAACGCAGGGCTCCGCCCAGCGCTCTCCGGCTGCGGCTTCTGCCCTAGGCCCTCCCTCGTCCCGCTGCGGCAGCTTCAATAGCGTTAATAACCGTTAATAACCGCCCTTTCAGAATCCCCTGGACTCCTGCTGTGAAACCCTCCCTACACAGTCAAGCACCCACACACCAGCTGGCCCTGGACAGACCCGCTCCGGGCTGATCCCTCTCTGCTGGCATGTCCACCGGAAGAAGAAATACAGAGACAACACACGCACACATAAAATCAAGAACATTTCTGTAGGCCAGCAATAATCACAAAGAAAATACCATCAAAAGATTCACAACAGGCTAGGCTGAGCGGAGGAGGGCACAAGGGGGGAAAATTGGGACAACTGTAATAGGATGACAATAAAATATTTAATAACACTCACAACAGCTGCATCCACTCTGAGTGACTTTATTGGATACATTCACAGGATTCTGACCAGTGACACGCGGATGAGCACACACCTGGCAGCGCCCACCCCGCCCCTCCCCAGGCCCCCCGCCCCTCCTCGGCCCCCACGGCAGCGGGCCTCCCTCCTGCGGAAAACGGAGCCAGGCCTCCGGCTGCAGACCAGCGGCCTCCACTTCCATTATCCCAGCAGCTGTCTAATGCATCTGAACCACAAAATGGGCCCTCGCTCCTTTCCTATCCCAGCTCCATCTTCATAAACTGTAACAGACAGACTGGAGTCCCCAAAGGTACAAAACATTTCTTTCCAGATAATTTTAAAGGAAATGGAAAAAATGCCTTTGTGCTAATGTAGCATCTGTGGCCGAGACAATTCATCTGCAGGTGGGCTCCAGCCACACACTGACCAAGCTGTTTATGCTGCAGTAACTACATTAGCGACCGTGTCTGAAGGCGGTGAGAAGCACTGTGTCTGCCTGAGGTTGGGCTCAGGGCTCTTTCCACGATACTACACTGGCCCTTTAGCCCGTAATTATAATAACTGGTACTTTTTAGAACTACCCTGGATTCAGTGAAATTCCAACTGTCCAAAATACTTTCTCTCACAGACTCTATGCTGGTCTCTAAGACTTGAATGGAAGAAAAAGAAAAATACCAAAATTAAAGCAACAATTTAAGAGTTGATTATGAGGAGAAAAACAGGGTATTTTTATAATCCCAAGACAGGGGGGGAAAAAATCCTCAGGGAGAAAATCAGGAGTGACATAAGACCAGGCCTTAGCTCTCCCCGGTGCTTGGTACTGTGTTAGCAACATCAGCAGGTGCTCAAGTGGGGCTTGAAATGTTGTTTGAAATCTGCCCGGGGCCAGTTTTTAGGAGTATCTGGACCTTAGTCAGCTAGAATTTTCTAAAGAAGGTTCGGTTTAAATTCTGGGCAGCCCAGCCAACACTGTAACTAATTCCTGTTCTAGGGAGCCCTGGGGATAGAGGTCAATGGGCTTTTTGTCTCCCTCTGAGCTCTGTTGATTCCTGCTGGTTTGGGGTTAAAAGGACGCACTGGAGGGTCTGCCCCCCAGTACTCCTCATCCTCACCTGTAAGCCAAGAGAAAGCTCTGTAGCCAAGCTGAGGTACCTTTTAAGTGCTCTGAGAGAGCTTTCACACAGCTCTGGGCAAGAGACAGAAAGCCTCTGAGAAGCCGTAAAACACAATCCTGGTGGCACCATCGTATTGTCTTGTTCTGGGAATTCTGCCTTTAGACAAAACCACATGATTGTGAATATATAAACAAGCACTTTCTAAGCCATCTCACAAAGCCTGAGCCCGGCTACAGAGTGCAGGGAGCCTCGGCCTGGGAGGGAGAGGGAAGCGGCAGGGGCCGAGCCAGCCAGGGCGAGCGCTGCACCTCAGTGCCGCGGTTCAAGTCCCAGCTGGGGCGAGACCGTGGCGGAAGAGAGCTCTTGTGTAATGGTCCCATCCGAAAGGCTGCACGGCGAGTACTCTTTAAACAAATGTCAGGCCATACTGCCTAAATGGTTAGAATAACCAGTGGTATCTAAACTTTGGACTGTAAGGTCCCTATAGATTTCATGACAAGGACCAGACTCAACACTCTGAGACAAAGAGTCTCTGAAGATATTTGACCTGGAGCTGCCATCTCGTATGATTATCTCCTGTGTGGCTGTGAAAGTTAACGGGATGAAGCCTTCGCTATCGGCGCAGAGAAGGATCCAGCGGGAGCCTGCAAAGTAAAGTAAACACACAGGCAATTTAGGATATTTCACCTTATTTATAAGGAAAAATAACAAATGGCCACTTTGTGAGGGGAAGAATTCAGTAGTTGAGAATATGAAACCTGACCATGACACGCCTTTACAGAGAATGCGGAGATGGGAGGACTGAGTATTACCGAGCGTCTGGTTATCCGGCAGGAAGGGGATGTTGACGCCTCCCAGCTGAGGAACAGGCATTCTCACTCAGGCGAGGCGTTTATCACTCAGCGGTACGCCTGCCCTGCGAGCTTCTGTCTGCACACGTTAGGGGTTGTGTGTGGAGTGTCCCTATTTTCTCTCCATGTTGTTAATGAGTTTCTCCAGAAAATACATGAAGTTGGGAACAGCCACTGCTATGGAAGGTTCATTCTTCAGATCCATTGCAACCTCTAGCCACCCAAGGAGGCTGAGGTGACTGGAGCTAGCCTAGAATGCCCCAGATCGATGAGCCTGTATGGTTTGTCCCAGGGGAACCGAGCGCCACTGGCGTAACACACGCCTGGACCTTACTCTTCCAAGTTAATCGTGGTTTAACTTTTTAAAAAATCTTCATCTGAGGATATGCTTATTGATTTTTTAGAGAAAGAAGGGAGAGGGAGAGAGGGAGGAAGGGAGAAAGAGAAACATTGACACGAGAGAGGAAAATATCGATCGGTGGCCGCCTGGACGCACCCTGACTGGGGATCGAATCCGCAACCTAGGTAACGTGCCCTCACCAGGGATAGAACCTGCAACCTTTGTGGTGTATGGGGCAACGCTTCAACCAAGTCAGCACCTGGCCAGGGGTCAAGTCTGCTATGTCTTAACTTTCTCTTTTTTTTTTTAGATTTCATTTATTTATTTTAGAAAGAGAAGGAAACAACATGAGAGGGAAACAGCAATCAGTTGCCTCTCACCTCCCCCGCCCCCCCAGCTGGGGACCTGGCCCTCAACCCAGGCTTGTGCTCTGACCAGGAATCGGACTGGTGACTTTTTGGGGTGTAGGACAATGCCCACCCCAGTCAGGGCCCATGTCTTAACGCGCAACCTTGTAATTTCACTTCTGAAAATCTATACTGTCCAAAAACAACACGTAAAGCATACAGAGAGGTTTTTATTAATGTTATTTATAATGGGCACCATTGGAACCCAACTAAATTAAGAAATATGACAAAGTAAAAAATGGTGCACCTTAGAAGAGAATATTAACTCCCACCTAGGAAAAATGACAATTATGAGGTCATATCATGAATGTGTCAAAACAGAAAAATGCTGCTGCTACAATGTTAAGGGGGGAAATGAAACAAATTTTATCTTCAGTGCAGTAGCTACTGTGACAAGGAGACAAAAGAAAAGAACCATTTGAAGGAACGTGGGCATTGCTCAGTCCCCCGCCACCTTTAACTGTCCCTCATGTCCACATGTTCACTGCACCTTAAAACTACTCCTTTCAGAAATATTCTGCAATGCTGCTATTATCTTTGTGTTCTAGTGCAACAGGTATACACAAGGTTTTTATGTCATTTCCTTGCAGTTGGTATATATGGCTTTGTAACTCTTCTAGTTTTCACGTACACATTTAGGTTTTCCAGCTCAGCTTTAAGTTCCTTAAGGGCAGATCACATATTTCCCATGTATTTGGTGGCATTATGCCACCATGTGTTATATTTTATAGGCATATAACAGGCCTGGGTATACAGCAGACAATAATACTTGCTAATTACCTGGTGAATTCCAGAATTATCGGTACACGTCATTTTCTTATTCTTTTTATAAAGGTTTTATTTATTTTTAGAGAGGGGGGAGATGAGGGAGAAAGAGTGGGAAGGAACCATTAGTGTGTTTGCCTCTCTCATGCCCCCTGCTGGGGAACTGGCCCAAAACCCAGGCATATGTCTTGACTGGGAATCGAACCAGAAACCCTTTGGTTCATAGGCCAGCACTCAATCCACTGAGCCACACCAGCCAGGACTCTTTTTTTTTTTTTCTTTAAGATATTATTTTTTATTTTTAGAGAGGGGGAGGGAGAAAGAAAGAGAAACATCAATGTGAGAGAGAAACATCGATTGCTTGCCTTTCGCAAGACCTACCCTACAACCCAGGCATGTGCCCTGGTAGGGAATCGAACCAGCAAACTTTTGGTTGGCACGCGGGCGCCCAATCCACTGACCCACATCAGCCACCCACATTGCCAATGAAAGTTACGCACAAAATAGATGGTGGAAGGAGGGGTTGTTGGGTAGGGTTAACTTCTCAATTGTACCTACCATGCAGCATTTCAATAAGAGAGAGGCCAAAAGTCTGCTGAATGGTACTGAGCCTTAGTTTGCCATTGCAGAGAAGCACGTTTCTTGTTTCAACAATGGGACCTATATAATAAGGTTTCTTCAAATACAAAAACAAACGTTGTTAAGCCAATTGCAGCACCAATGGATTTAACATTTCTTAAGAATAGAAAGTATAAATAGTTGTCTTAAATCCTTACCTATTACCACTATCAATCAGACTTCAATTTTATATAAGGAGCTTTTTGCTATATTATTTAACACAACAAAAGGGTCAGAACAAAACGCAAACCCCTAATTTCCTTCTCCTTTTGCGCTGCTTTTTCCCATGTCTCTATTACATGGAACTGGCTGTTGTAGGATATGACCGATAACTCTACAGGATGATTAATGGCAGCCTAAGAGCACGATCTGATGGTGAGGAACAGGTGCTTGGCTATTGTAGGTGTAACTAAGAAACTTCATGCTTCCTTTAATGGGAGAAAAATGCCAAGAAGGACTGCCCTAAGTGGTGGCGTAGTGGAGGAATTGGACAAGTAAACTGGTCAAATTTCACTTAGCTTAGAAAAAGTACAAAGAAAAATGACTTCTAAATTTTAAAAAGTCTTAGTGCATATTAACTCATCTTTAAAAATGGTTTCAAATATCCCTAGAGAAAAAACATATAAAATTATTATAGCTCTAATTTATGTTAAGAGTCCAAAGGCACAATCATAGAACATAGAATAAAAAATATTAACTTCTCCAATTATACATTATTTGAAACAATACCTTCATGTAAGCATTTGAAGAAGAGCTTTATTGGTAAGTTATGTGTCTAACTCATTCTGTAGTTAAAATTATTACTACTCATTTTCTGACTGCTGAGAACCATAATTTCTACAATGAAATATAAACTGTACATTTGTGGAACAATGAACAACTCAAAGAGCATGTCTACTAATACCATTTTAAAAGATGTCACAAATAAACTGCAAGGGCCAGGAGCAACTAATCATTTATTAGAACTCTATGAAATGCTGCTTTGGAAATTACAGGGGAAATTCTTCCTTGCTTTTGATTAACTTGCCTTTTTCTTTTACTTTTCTCATTACAAAAGGAATACATGCTCAGTATGAAAGAGTAAAACATAAATTTATAATGCAGAAAATAAAATGCCCCAAACGCTACCCTCCAGAGGTAGTTACTGATAACAGCTTGGTTGGTTCAGTTCATTATAAACTGAGAAACTAGAGAATTAAAAAGGCAAAAAAATCCCACTTTTTTTCTTAAAAAATACAGAATTTCACATTTACAGATGTTTACAAAAGAAAAAAGATGTTATTATTTGAAAGAAATAATATAGATTTACTTACAACTAACTATCTGTGATTTTCTCTAAGGGCTGGATTATGAAGAGTTTTTACTTTCAACATTAATTATTCCCATATTGGTTCCATTTCCCCCCCTCAATAAGCATATATTACTTTTGTAATTGGGGGGGGGGGTTCTGCATGCTCTCAAAAATTCAATTAAAAAATGCAGAAACCAAATTAATAAAATATTGCAAGAAAATCTAGACTATTACATGTATATTAATTTCTACAATATACAAAAACTTCTTATAGACTATTAATCCAATAGGAAAAAATGAGCAATAAGCAATTTATTTTTTGGATCCAAAATATGAAGACATATGTACTCAAATTCATTAACAGTAAAGAAAAAATAAATTAATAAAAGTGAAATACCACTTCACATTTATCAGATTCATGAGAATGTGAGAAAAAGGTTGCTGGTGAGCACGTGATGATACACTGTTAAGCACGAATCTCTGAAAGGCAATCTGGCAAATGTTTAAAAGTAGAAACATATATATTCAAATTGCACTCTTGCTTCTGGGAACCAACCCAACAGAAATAAAAATACAAATACAAATGGATACATACAAGAATACTATTGCAGCGCTATGTGGAGTGGGTAAGAACTGAAAACAAAGTGAATGTCCATTCAACAAGGGAACGCTTGAAAAAACAGCATACTCTGTGCATGAAGTCGAAAGTACACCGTATGACCCTATTTTTGTAAAACCACCACCACCTCTGAACCTACATATATCTTGTTCCTATATATTGGGTTAGCAAAAAGTCCATTACATTTTTTCCCATAAGATGGCTTTGGTAGTGCTAAGTTGTCTTTAACTTCATTCGAAACAATTTTGTTAGATGATACTGTGTCAGCTGTTATATCAGCATGCATTAAAAAAAAAAACTTAATCAAAACTGGTGAATTTTTATGCAGCCATTGTAATATTGAAGACAGAAAAAAATGCAACATTTTTGGCATATTATGCTTTGTTATTTCAAGAAAAGTAAAAATGCAACTGAAATGCAAACAAAAAAAAAAGGGGGGAGATTTGTGCAGTGTATGGAGAAGGTTCTGTGACTGAACATGTCAAAACTGGTTTGCACCCTGACTGGTGTGGCTCAGTGGACTGAGTGCCAGCCTGTGAACCAAAAGGTCACCAGTTCCATTCCCAGTCAGGGCACATGCCTGAGTTGTGGGCCAAGTCCCCAGCTGGGGGTGCGTGAGGGGCAATTGTATCTCTCACACACTGATATTCCTCTCCCTCTCTTTTTCCCTCCCTTCCCCTCTCTCTAAAAAGTAAATAAAATCCTTTTTAAAAAATCTAAATAAATATAACCATTCTTACATATGGAAGAGGGTCTGCGTTGCATAAGAAAAAAGTTTCATGATGAAGTAGCACAATTTAAAAGTATTTTTTTCTAAATATAAGTTGGCAGAATAATCATTCATGTATTTCATACCATGTACATGATAAAAATCAGTGTATACTGGTATGTGTGTCCATATGGTTGGCAGACAACCAACCTGCAAAGGAATAACAACCTGCCTGTACTATAACATACCCTGTTCAATTCGAACACCATCTTTCTCATCAACTAATTTTTCTGGCAGTGACCACCGGTTGCAGGAGCTTCTATGGACAGTGCTAGCCCCTCAAGGAGAAATTACCTGGTAAGAGATGTGGACATAAGGCAGATCCTGAGAGAGTGGATACACTGGAGAGGGTTTCTTTCCATTATGTAGGGAGTCTGTGAGCTCAGAAAGACATCGCTGTACTTCATTCAGTTTCTGAGATAAAATTTCCAGTTCCTTAGACGGCTGGTAAGTTTCCTTTTCCCGTTGTGAGTTCTTTCTCTGAGGAAAATTAGGGGGCTCCGGGGTGCTGGTGTGGCCTGGCACGTTGCTGGGTCTGGGCAGGGTCACTGGCTGGGTCACAGGCTCGGCACCTAGAGTTTCCAGGACTACGGAGCCATCGCCGACGCTGGACGGAGGACTTTTGATTTCTTTAATAAGGGTACGTTCGGGCCTCCCACCCTGACTCCTGCAATTAGCTGTTAACAAGAGCCCTCTGTTTTGGTGATACGTATCTGGAGAAAGACCTTCAATTAGCTTCTTTTCCTCTGTTTTATCTAGCAGAAGACTGAAACTAGAGTAGCCACTCTGGTTTTCACTCAATGTTATTGGAAATCCCTCTTTCAACATTACTTCTCTAACAATCAAGCGAATGATATACTCATCAGACTTTGAAGGAGGAAGAAATGTCAAATCCGTGGATTTTTGTTTTCCTACCAAAATTAGTAATAATTTATCTGTCAAGAAACATATGCCTTTTGGTCGTTCACTACTCTCTAACTGAATTTGCTGGATGTCTGGCATAAACGATGGAATGACAGAATAGATAAAAATTATATTACAAGTATTGGAGGCCACTGCCACAACCTGTGCTTTAAGATTAAATGCTATCAGATCAGGAACCAGAATGCCTGGAATGGGGACTTTCCTGGTCTGGGTAACCTCTTTCTCAAAAGTCACAAGTACCAAATGTGAAGAATCCAGACCAGTTCCTGTCAAGTAGTCCTTTTTTCTTAGACAAATAAGGTTATTACCCTCAGACTTCGATCTATTGAAAATTATATGAGTCAGATCCAGAGGATCTGAAAAGGAAGAAGAAAAGGGAGAAACTGACATGTCCAAATTTGTGTCAGAAGGGATTGCCCCCTTATCCACAGAGAACATGTCATTAGTAACCGTGTCATCAACCAGACAAGTGTCTTCACTACTGGGCGGAACATCAAGTGCTTCAGATGCATTTAAGCCACAAATCTTATCCAGCGGAAGCTCAGTGGCTATGGCGACCTGTGAGGCCACAGTGGCTCCGATAGAGCGCACGTAGCTGTCCACATCAAACACCGAGCAGGAGAAGCACCTGTGAAGAGTCTTCTGCGCACTGTCCCAAATATAAGAATGCAGGCTGCTGCCTACTGCCACCACCAGCCTCTGGCCGTCCTGGGTCCAACAGGCGCAATGAATAAGGCCTGGGGCGCTGCTGTCTGCTCTTACCCGGGAACTGTCACAGTGCACATTATGGAGAACGGAGACATCCTGTGCGGTCAGCACAGCCAGGACAGCACTTTCGGGGTGCCACACACAGCCTTGGGGAAGGACAGGGTGCGATTCTCTAATTTCACAGGTCTTAGACATCAACCACTTGCTTGACTCCTTAGTACTGGGACACAGCTGCCACACAGTGACATGCTGCGTGTGCTGGACAGCGAGCAGAGGGGGCGTGTCAGCTGCACCAGGTGGGGCCCAGGACACCCCATACACCTGTTCAAATTGTCCAATGACCTCCGAGTCCCCAAACTTGGCCTCTCCACTCTGAAGCTGTACATCAGTCAGGACTACCTGATTCCCATTGGTCCAGACAAGGCCGTGAACTGGGTGTACTGCTTGATACAAGGCATTCAGCCCAGTCCTGAGAAGTTTTCCTTTCCCCAACTCCATCCTTTCTGATGAAGGTTATCTGAAATAATTAAGAAGAAAAGCTACACCATAATCAGACAGATCCAGAATGCAGGACATGTTACAGTTGGCTCACACCTTTCACGGGCTAATGCTGTGAGGGGATGAAAGGACTGGGAGTGTGGCAGGTTCAAAGCCACCACTGAGCCACGAGAAGCAAATGTATCGTATAAACTTTGGATCTCAAATGGAGGACATAAAATTTTCTACCAAAAAAAGAACAAAACTGTGTTGAACTGGGGAAATCAGAATATGGAATGGATATTAGAAGATGCTAGAGTTAACAGTTTTCTTAAGTGTGACCATGGTATTGTGCTTACGTATTTATGAAAATGTCCTTACTGTCAAAATACGCATGTTGAAGTATTGGGGGATAAAATGTCTTAATGCCTACAACTTGTTTTCAAATGTCTTAGCAAACAAACCAACCAATAAAATTTTGTATATACTGTATACATATTTTACATGTGTATATATGCAGAGAGCTAAAACAAATGTAGCAAAATGGTAATAATTGCTGAAGCCAGACTGAGGCTATGTCAGTATTCTTGGGACTTTCAACTTTGAAGCTAGAAAATTTTCAAATTAAAAAGTTGAAAAGAAAGTCTTCTTCACCATCTAATTTATATTTTCCTTTCATTGCCAAGTCAATGAATAACTGATATTCACAACTGACTTTATTAGCACTTATTTCCTCAACTCCCTTAAAAATAGCCCTTACTTTTATACTGAAACAACACTCAAGTCACTATTGCTATTTCTATTTCATCGTATTCAAATAGCACTTAATTTTCAGAATATTTTCACATTCCCTGTTGCATTTGCTCCTTGCAACAATCCTTCACAATAATATAAATTAGGTTAGGCAAGTATTACTTTCAATTTTTTCATTCTTAAGGTTCCCCCCTGCCCCGGAAATTTAGATTGCTAAAGTACATGTTCACTGCAATGAAATTCAAACAAACCATGTGTCTGAAGTAGAACACAATGTCTCCTCCTACCCCATGCCAACTCCCCTTTACCTTTACCACCACCAGCACCCGCCCCCAAATCGTAAGCCCTTCATAACAGCACTGTTCACAATTTGATGTATAGCCTTGAAACCGTTAGCAAACCCTACAAATATAGAAATAAAATTTCATATGTGCTAAGTTTTTTCTTTTAGACAAAAAATGGGAGTATAAGACAGAGTTCCTAACCAGGAACTGTTAACAGCAAAAACCACTATGGCTAACTTAAGCAACACAAACAAACAAACAAAAGGCTCAAGAACCAGGCTCAGAAAACAAACAGGAACCAAATGAGGCCAGGCACAATAAGCCACAGCTGCCACTCTTTCTAAACAGCTGGGGACCTAACTTCTCAACAGCTGAGAAGCAAACCTCACTGCCCCTTCTCTTGATGGCGACTGCTTAAGATTCCGAATGGGAAGACGCCTCCCACTGGCTGAGCTAAGTTCACACACCCTTTGCTCCAGCAGCCAGGAGCGGGAGAGGGCTCCCCACAAAGGCTCCTGTCACAGGGGATGGGCTGTGCCTCCCACCAACACTCACACAAAGGGAGATTCTTCCCAAATTATGTAGCGGTTTTCAAAAAAAACAACTGATTACCACAGAGGTTGTATCTTACATATCATTCACTATTTTACAGCAGGGGCACCTTTCAAAGTCAATAATAGAGATCTGCCTCAGTGTTTTAAGTAGCTGCATTAGCAGCAGTAAGGTATTCCATACTTTTTAGGTACCAGAATGTATTCAATGGCTCCCTTATAGGTAGAAATTCAGCTTGTTTCCAATTTTTATCTGATTGTGGACTGAGCCAAAAAGTTTAGTACTCAGGTCTCATCACTTTTCCCTTTTTTCCTTCCTTCCAGTGCCACCTACTCTTATGTTTTCAATTATCATCTACATTTATTACTCTGAGATCTGCATCTCCTTTCCTGGCTTCTCTGCTGAGCTGCAATACCATTCAAATATATATTAGGCTTTACATCATGGCTGATATTACCGTGCCTACATTCACTTCAAACTTAACCTACCTCTTTGCTAGCTTTGTCCCTGCTCTTAGAATCTTTTTCTAAAAAGAACAGTCTGTTTTCCACTTCTAGTGTCAGATTAACTGGTTCTGCAGTAGCTTGCTAAATACAGAAATAAGTCCCCTGTCATTACCAGTGACCAAAACTGCCATCTCTAACTCACTGGTCTTAATTAATATGTTTTTCCCTAATATCTATGGAGGTACTTTTAAAAGACTTTGATAAATAATGCACAGTACATTTTCCTGGGCAGGGAAAATTCCCAATGCACCAATTATATCAAAGGCAACTTATATGACCATGTTTTAAGCCACACAAGTGAGTATAATGTCACTGAGTTTACGTATGGCCAGGGGTAGCACAGGTTAAGTATTTGCGAATATGGAAAAAAAACACGAGGTTACTAAGTTTTTAGAAGAACTCACTTCAATGTTTCATCTTTAGTAACAAGAAGAAATTTGGCATGCTTTGCTCAAAAAGCCTAATGATAATTACAAAAGTCTGCTCCAACCCTTTCAACTCTACGGCTGGTCCAGGTGCTGACCACCTCTCCCTGTTTAGTGGGGCAGGATGAGGTGAGGTCCTCTGACACCGGCCTCTTCTTTCCCACAAAGCCTGGATACTCTGTGTGGTTGGAGAGAATTATCTTTGAAAATAAATCACAGTTCTGGTCATTTTGTTCTTCTGCTCTAACTCTTTGGATGAGTCTCTACAGTCACATATGTAAAAGAAGGCATTTAAGGCCTTATATTATGATACTGATATTCCTTTCCAACCTCATCTCCTGATCGTAAAGGGCCTGCTGAGGAATTTGGAGGAACCAGCACACATTCATGTGACAACGTGCAGGATGGACTTAAGAAAAGTGGCAAGTTCAATAAAGCGCTGTGAAATATTTTGAATGTTACAATGAGAAAGCGAGCCAAGTCTGTAGCTACTTCAACAGAGAAAGAGGGCGAGATTCGAGAGATTTCTACTGCAGATGGACTAGATAATGACATCAGGTAGGATGTGAATGGTGAAAAAGGAGGACGAACTAAAGATAACACAAAGTTTTTGCTCGGGAAATTGTTAAACCATTCTTCAGAGATACCGAAGGCAGACCATGCTTCAAAGGTGAAGACAAGAGTGTAGGCCCTGGTGAGGTAGCTCCATTGCTTAGAGTGTTGTCCTGATACACCAAGGTTTCAGGTTGGATCCCTGATCAGGGCGCATACGAGAATCAACCAATGAATGCATAAATCAGTAGAACAACAAATTGATGTTTCTCTCTCTCCCTAAAATCAATTTTTTAAAAAAGGATGTGTAGTGTGTGATAAATTTAGTATCAGATGTGCATCATTTAGGATATATTTAGGGTAGCAGTGTTCTTTAGGCAGTCAAAGAGGAAGAATTTGGAAGTTAAAGCCAAAGCAGCGAACAGCCTCACTGTGAAAGATCAAAAAGCCCAAAGGTTGAAATGACTTTCAGGAGTTCTCCAATTATTTGGTATCTTTTAAAATACTTATACGTTGCCTGAAGCTAACTGTATACCTGCTGGCCTCTCAACCCCTCAGACTGTAAGATAACTGAAATCAGGACACCCTGGGTGTTTTAGGAAGAGAAAAGCCTACTCTATTAGCTCCGGGGAGGGGTGGTCAGAACCAGGACCTGGTGTGCAGTCTACGACCACTTATTTCTCCTGTTTTTCATCTCCTTCAAAGACAATTCATGGTGCAAATCAAGGGGCTTAGGTGAACTGGCTCACTCCCAGTAGTTTAAGCAGATGTACACCCACCTCCAACCTGCTTTTCTAAGTTTATTGTGTTTCCATTTTAAACTAAGTTCAAGTTCCTTACACTTATTTTTAAAAAATTAACACACCTCTTGGGCATCTTCTGCACCTTTCCGCCCCTTCTTCCCTCAAGGTGCATACCTTTGGTCTCTCTCTGTCTCTCCCTTTCTCTCCCCTAAGCTCCAAGGGCCCCTCTTTTGCCTCTGTAACTTGTTTCCTGAGCCCACTCAGCCCAGCTGCCTCGCGTTTTCTACCTCTGCGACTTTCTAAATAATCGTTCCCTTGTATTTGAAAAAATAAATGAACATATACGAAAGGTAAGTTCACACCAAAAAAACCCATCCAAAGAAAATTATGATTACATACCTCTAGACACTTTTTTCCATGACATTTTGGGTAAACTTTTTCAATCATACCGTACCATTTCGTATCACCATTTTCTCATTTAACATTATATATTAGCATTTTTCCCATAGTATTTAAAAGTTTTGTATAGGCCACTTAATATTCACTCTGAAGGTCCATAATTTTCCTCACTGCTGAAATACCTGGTTGTAGCCAACTTTATCCCACTATAAATAACGCCGAGATAAAGATCTTTATGCATAAAGGGTTTTCTTCATTTTGGATATATCCCAGAAGTGTCACTTATGAGTCACAGGGAATATACTCATTCGTTTAAACCCAGTCCCGGAACGTCCGCAACCGCTAACGACTGCACGCGCACCCCTCACCATTCTTCCCATACTGGCCGCACACCTGTTTGTCTTCCACCCTCCCCGCAAGTGCCGGTCCCACCACCTCCCACCCCGCCCACCCACACACTGCCCACATCCTCCAGGCTGGGCAACAATGGAGACAAAACACCTTTAGACTCACTGACCCACAATAAACCAATATTCCCGGAGCCGCCCGCAACTCACCTACCGCGGATCCGAAGTCGTAGCGGGGACCGGAAGCATCGATTCGAAGGCCTCTGATAGGTGAGCGATGGGCGGGAAAGCTCAATATTACTGTCCGCCTATTGGTTTCTGCGTGTGTCACGTTAGAAGAATGTCCTTCCCACAGGCTAATAAGCTCGGGCTTTGCCGCACAGATCTCTGGGAGTTGTAGTTTCGGTGACACTCATGACCGTAAACCACGCACAATTTCTCCCTCCCTTAAGAGGTTTAGCGCCTTCCCCCTTTTCTTATAGGTTCTCTTAGTATAAGTTAAAATCCAGGAGCCCAAGAGTCAACACAGTTTCTTAACATTTGGAGTTGGGGGAGAGATGAGGAGTCAGGAATGGGAAGGAGTCGAGGACCTCTTTTAAATACAGCATTTCCCCCCCAAAATACAAAATAGTGTGCATTCTACTGAAGCCACTCCATTGATCTGTTCCAGATACATACACAGCCCTGTTCTACACGTACCCCAAAAGTGTCTGCCCCCGGCCATAGCCCATGGACTGGTAGTGCATCACTAGGCTTCTTTAGACCAAGTTACGCTTCTGGGAGACTCGGGCCACCCCTTGCCACAGCCAATGCGGGATTTCAGACCCGGACCCGCATGGAACAGTTGATCAGCATCTTCCTGAGCGGTACAGCCAATCCTCCTTCCACGGTGCTGGTCACCTGCAGTCTCCTGTCTGATCTGGGAGCATGGGGAAGGACATCTTTAGGGCCCACTCCGGACACCTTTCCTGGGACTTTTCGCCCTCTGCCTATCTTCCAGCGCCACTTGTTAGAGTCATACTTGACCTAATTTTTGGAACAATGCAGGGAAGAGGTAGAAACAAAAATTTAAAACGGAAATTTATAGCCCCACTCATTCTTCAAGCAAAGGTTACTTCTTTGGAAAAGCTTGATAGATTCCTGGATCTCTGTTGGGTGAAGGAAGAACATAGGTCGAACTCATTCATTCGTCCCACAGCAAGAATCCCTCCACGCCGTAGCTGCGTCCCTGCTCACCCCGGATTTAGTTCCTCGAAGGCAGCGATTCTGTCTTAATTCCATTGGTTTCCCCAGGATGTCATTCTTTGCCTTGAAAGGTGGGAACCCACCCGTGCGTGGGGCAGAGCGACCTGGGATGGCGAGCAGGGGCTTAGAGTGGGGGCAGAAGGGTCGGCAATGAACCTTGCCTCACCCCACACAGCCCCCCGTGCCCCCTCCCCCCCCCGCCCCCACCCCCAGCTGGCTTCTGCAGGTCCGGGCAGCCCCTCTAAGGCAGGACCCTTCTCGAGCGCTTCCACGCTTTCGGAGCCCCTGTCAACGAGCGCATCTAGTCACAGCGCCGGAGTAGCTGCTGGCCGTCCCCGGGTCTGTGGAATCGAGCGGATTCCCCAGAGCCGCCAAACGCACGTTGAACGGAGGGATGCAGGGGTGGGCAGACGGGCGAGTGCGTGGATGCGGAAAGGGCTGCCTGCCTCCCTCAGCATCCTCCGCGGTCAGCGGGTCAGTCGGCCCGGCCAGGCTCCGGAGCCGCGGGTCAGGCCCCCTCCCCCGGGCTCCGCCCCGTCCGACCCCACCTTGCCACGCCGCTCCGCCCCGCCGCCCCCTTCCCCGCGGCCCCTCCCCGCGCAGGTCCCGGCCGCCACCGCACCTCCTCCGGCTCTGCAGTGGCGGCGGGGAGGCGAGTCGAAGCGCCAGCCGGGCCGGGGCCGGAGTCGGAGCCGAGCCGGGGTCGGGCAGCAGCGGGGACCCTCGGAGGCGGGGCCATTGGGACCGCGATGGGCGTGGAGATCGAGACCATCTCCCCGGGAGACGGTACCGGGCGCGGAGCCGGGGAACGAGGACGGGTCCCGGGGCGGAGCTGGGCGGGCGGGGGTCCCTTTCGGGGGTGACGCGGAGGGTGCCCGAACGTGGGGAGGTCCTGGGCTGGGGGCACGGAGGAGACAGCGGATGGGATCGCGGGGATCTAAGAGACGATCCCTGCTGTCCTTTCCGCGCCGGCTCACCTAAGGGAGCGCAGGCGGCGGCCGGGAGGCGGGGGTCTGCGGCCGCCACCGCCCCGGAGGCCGCAGGCTGCCGCGGCTGGAGCCGCTCGGTTATCCGCTGCTCCTGGTTTCCCAGGGCCAGGTTTCAGCTCCGCTTTTCCTGCGCTGCTGGGTGAGCTCTGGAAAGGGGAAAGGACGTGCTTGGGGTGCTCTTCTGCCCCAGCAGCCCCTTTCTAACGCGCCTCCCGCCCGATGCGCGCCAGGCAGTGAGGCGCTGCGGGGACCCAGCCAGTCTAGGCAGGGAGCTGCCCGCTCCCGCCCTGCGTCTCGCTTTATCCTCCGCGCCCGGTTCAGCCGCTCTGGGCGTCCTGTCCCTCCCATGGCTTTCGAGATTGTCTGCAAACCGATGGCCTTCAAACTTAAGCCTCCAGCCCAGACCTCCGACCTGAGTTCCAGGTGGACCATTTATCCAGCTGCGGCTGAGCCTCTCCCCGGATACCCCACCAATACATGCAAGTCCCCGAGTCCAAAACAGAACTTGCTCTCCTCTGTGTTCCCTGTTCCCTGCCTCTCGGCTTAGCGCCACTCCTTTCCTAAGCCAGACATCCCGGGCGTCACCCTTGTATAACTGGGCCTGGATGTGCAAGGAGTAACTAGCTACCTCTTTATTTCCTTTAAAACAAACAAACAAAACCCCCTTAATTTAGACTGGAACCCCCATTTCTGCAGGATCTGATAAGTAAACTTTATATCAGACATTACTGTCACCCCCCCATCCCGGAAATTGGAGGGCCCCTTGGTTCCAGGCCATCTCCCTACTGAAAGGCAGTGGTCCCTGAAATTCCCAGTGCTACCCAGGATCACCGGTGGCTGCAGCGTCTCTGCCCACAGTGAGAGCCACGGTGCTGGCTCCCAGGAAGCACATCCCTGAGGCCTTGTCACCTACCTCCAGGGCAGGGCCATGCAGCGCAGCCAGGGGGCTGGAGAGCTGCCTCCCCTTCCCGGCTCACAGCAGCCTTTAGAGTTTTCTCTCCTCATCCTCCATCTCTGGCCAGGGACAAAGAGAATCTTCTCAGAGGAGAATTAGACTTTTAGAGAAAACCTGGAGGAGCTCTGGTCTTCTGCCTTCAGCCCAATTTGAAACCCTGAGTCAAGGAAGCACAAATGGGCCAGACAACCATGCATAACCTAGGAGGGGATATACAAATTAATATCTCAACGCGAAATGCTGCGGTGCTGGAGAGGCTTGTCGGTTCAGCTCCATACCAAGTCCTGTGAGGTCCTCCCGCTGAGTATCTCCAGGCTCCGTCCCCTGCCTTGCTTCAGGCTGCCATCACCTCCCACCTGGATTTCTGCACAGCTTCTAAACCGGTCGTCCCCCCTCCGGTCCCACCTCCCTGCCCCCCATCTGGCCTCCCACCTCACTCCTGCTCATTTTCTATACCACAGCCTGAGAACTCTTGAAAATGTCTTTTAACCATGTCGTAATATACTTTATGGCATAAGATATTTTACTGAATCTTCCAGCTCCTTCTCCAGGCAGACAGTGAGATAACCTAATCTTACCTCCCACACTATATTCTCATCTCTCACTATCAGCCCCTACCCCCACTACCAACTTTTCCCCCAGTTTTAGCAAGCCGCCAGAAAGCTGTTGAACGCGTCAGTCACTCGGCAAATATTTATTGAACAGGTATTGTGTGCTGGGCCCTAGGTTTCCAGCGGTGAACCAGACAGGACTGCTGCTATGCTTGACTCAAGGCCTTTGAACGTGTTTTTCGCTGTTCCCAGATTACCTCCCTTTGCTTCCTCTGGCAAACCACTCATCTTTTAAGGTTGCAGTTTAACCATGATCTCCTCTCGGAAGCTTTCCCTGACACCCACAGCCAGTTGCTCCCCTCTGTGGGTTCGCACAGAGTCCTCTAAATATTGGCTCAGTTCTTAGCCCTCCCAAGGCATTGTTGTCCAGCCCCAAGGCTTTCAATTCCACCCAAATCAATACCTTAAGTGCAGACTCTCCGTTTGCCTACTTGCACTATAAACTCGGATGTCTAATAGGCATCTCAAGATTGCCACCTGCACAAATCTGTCCTCCCCATTCTTCCCCATCTCAGGAATTTGCTCCACCATCCCTCATGCTGGACCCCATCTTCACACCATTAGCATACGCTGTCAGCTCTGCTTCCAGAATACATCTTCCATCTCTTTGGCTCTCTCCCCTGCTGCCACCAAGTTAATTCAAGCCATCATTGATTTCCTGTCTGGATTACTGCAACAGGCGCCCGACCGTCTATCCTACACACAGCAGCCAGAGTGATCTTATAAAATCTTAATTCAGATTATGTCATTCTTGCTTAAAACCCTCCAGTGGCTTACTGTTGCACTTAGAATGAAAACCAGCTCTGTGGGGCCTGGCAGGGGCCAGGGCCTTCCTGCTCATCTCGTCCTCCCGCCCTTCTTTCCAGTCACCTGGCCTCCTTTCTCTCCTGCAGATGTACTGATCCTTTCCTGCCTCGTGATTTGTGCACTTGCTGACCTCTCTTCTACAAGTCTCAGCGCTGGGAGGCCACCCTGGACCATCCTGTCTAAAATGGCCTGCCCACTGTGTCTCTCTTTAATTTACCTTTAGAGAACACAATCTATAATTATATTGTTTATTTGAGGAGTGTTTGTCTCCCTCCATTGGAGTGTAAACTCCAAAAGAGTAGGATCTTGCCTCTGTGGTTCATTGCCATATCCCCCAACTCAGGCCCAGGCCTTGCACATAGTAGGTGTTCAGTAAATATTTGTGAATAATTGTGTTTATTCATTTTTGATCACAGTCATCACCTTACATTAGAATCTATTATTTGTGTTGCTCTGTGTTCCTGTAATCTAGTCCAGGCCTAGCACATAGTAGGCCGTCAGTGGATGTTTATGGAATGGATGGGGGAAAGTGAAAGGAGCAAAGAAAGGAAGAGAGCCAACAAGATCAGAGTTGAAGAACCCAAGGAAATAATGTTAAAGTCAAAACCAGAGTGGCGAAGTAACTGATCTGGCTT